AAAAAAGTTATTTTCATGCCAAAGAATTATTAGTTTAATGAGTAAAGGATTGTAGATAAGAATATTTTGTTGTTATAAATTTATTTTATTTTTTTAGAATGAATATTTAGTGATTTTAATAATATGATACTATCATGTCAATTTGTTCAGAAAATTACATAAAAATGAAAATAAAATGCAAGTGATTATGTTGTTAGAGATTCAATATATTAAATTGGTATTTAATCTTTTGGATGGATGGCATGATGAGAATTTAAATTAACTTTAGGTTTGACCTCTTGATTTAACTTTAATTTAACTCATTAACTTTTAACTCACTATCTTAATCACTTGAGATGCCGATCCGGCTTCAGTAACTTGACTATTGATCGAAGGAAGTTGTATTTTTTCGTTCTTATATGATCACGGACGAAGCGCTCTTCTGAGCCAACCGTTAAAGCTTTACAACAAAAGCAAGAGAGCTTAGATATAATAAAACCTGACTTTTCTGTCCAGAGAACCTGACTTGTCAAATACAATTAACGCATCCTCTCATCCTAATGCAGCAGTTATGTTTTTTTTTTTTTTTTATCATGCATAGATATTTTCTTATTATCGGAAGAGATTTTGGCGGGATAAAAAGAAAGATTAAAAGGTAAAAAAGTTACCAAGATTTAGAAAGAAAAATATTCGTATCCCAAGAAAAGAATGTAAATATGAAAAAAATAATACTCTTCCGGTCTTTAATATAGGACCCAATTGTTGAGTTGGTTTTGCTTCTAAATATAAGACTCATTTATTATATTATCAGTTTTCTCTAAATTACCCATATGGATACTCTCTCACCCATAATCAAGTAGAAGAGGAAGATCGGGTATTAAGAAAGATGATTATAGTATTTTAGGAAAAACGTGTCACATTTTTTATAATTAACTAACTTATCTAACTTTCTTAATCTAATTAAATTAGTTAAATAGGTCTTATATGAATTATTGGAAGGGTAAATGAATGACAAATTGTCATTAAACCTTTTTATCAGCCTAACAAGCAGATAGTGTTTAGGGGACTGGGAGCAAGGCTGAAATATGATTGGACCACATGGCCATGGGCATCATTAATCCAAGTCATTATTTTATCAATTAAGGCGTACAGTAGTAATGTGTTACTTCTTTTTCTCTTTAATATAAAAATTAGTTTAACTTTTAATTTAGTCTTAAATATAAAATTTTAATATATTTTATCTGTTATATTTATTTTTTAAAAATAATTTTTGTAATAGTTGCATATGTTAACTGTTTCATCAAATAATAGTTTTGGTTAATACATGATTAATAAGGGTATTTTAAGAAAATTAATACTTATTTATTATAAATAACTAATCAATAAATTTTGTAAAGCTACGCAAATTAATCAACTTATCTATTATACAACTTTAGGTCACTAATACAAAAACTAATTGGCTGATTTAAGTATAGTAAAGAATTAGTTAAGCTAGTTATTATAATAAATAGGTGTTGGCTTCCCTAAGATACTTTTGTTAATCAAAGGTCATTTGATTAAATATTAAACATTTAACATGTATAATTATAATAAGAATTATTTTAAGATCTTATATTTAAAATCAAATTAAAAGTTAAATTAGTTTTTATATTAAAGATAGAAGATGATATTAAGGAGGGAAAGTGGTAATTAAATTAAAGGTAAATAAATAGAACTAAGAGAGTGGCCGTGGGAAGTGGGGCCCAGACGTGGGGGTCACGTGTCAGGAAAAGGAACAGGTCATGGAGGACGCCATTTATGTCAACGTACTAAGGTTGGATTTGTTAGCCATATCTTGCAGCGGTCGGCTGACCGCCTCCCATTACTTTATTTTCAGGTGCGGGGGGGACCACAAAGCATGCCGTGCTCCATTCTTCTCTGCCTTCTCATCCAACGGTCCTAAACTCATCGTGGCATTTGTGAGGTTTCTTGCAGCTTTTCTCACTTCTCCTTTCCCCTAAAATTTCGTGCACATCTTTGAGATCTGAAATTCTGGCTCTCTTTTTTTTCTTTGAGAAAAAAAGTTTATAAACCACTTTAAAAATATTCTACTTAATTTAATAATTGCACTCCACCATGTTTTCAATTGGGAACTGGGATATCCATTGTAGCTAGAGTTGTCTGGAAAATTGTGATCCAACTTCTCCAATGCTCCCTGTGGTTGTAAATATGGGAGTTGAATAAATTGTTACTATTGAAAAAAGAGTTAAATAATTAATTTTAAAAAATTAAATAGTTCTTTTTTCACCAAAGAAAAAAATAAAATAGTTCAATTAATTATTCTAAAACAATTATTTTTGTTACTTGCGTTAAAGTTTATCTTCGTGGATGAAAATTCCTTTCATATATGCAATCACTGCACATATAGTTATTTAAAAAAAATTATAAATTTATGAAACAAAATAAATTGAAATCTTAAATCCGTAAATACTAAAGCACAAATCTTCATCTGACAAAATAAATTAAAATCTTAAATCCGTAAATACTAAAGCACAAATCTTCAATTAACTCTGACATTATCAAAATGAGAGGAAGTGATGGAATTTTATCACATACATCTTAGTCACCATCCACGTTTATCTACGCAATTTTAATGCATTAAGTTTTTTTTATTGAAAATAAATCAAATCATCTAACACTTTTTGCCTTCTATTATTCTATTCTAATTAAACAAAGTTTTATAATTAGGATTGAAGGCAATACTATTTATTAATTTTAGATCCAAATAAATCAAATAATGTACTGTCATTCATTTTGTCACTGTCCACTAAAGTGATATAGTGCCGAACAATGAATACTTCTTTTGACTATGTGCTTTTTTTTCTCCCCCTTGTTTGGATAGCGGTCAAAACGATAATATAAAGAATACAAAATCTGATAAGGCAGAAAAACAAATAGGACGATTACGAAATACATGGAAGGACAATAGGAAGAAGATGAAGGAATTTCGAAAGTGTGATATTGTAATTTGATGAAGTAAATTTTCGGTAAATCTCATGTGGAATTCCCTTCAATGCGAAATAATTCAGGTTTGTTACGACTGAGGAAAGGTTTGGGACTGGTTAACATTTTTTCTATTTCTTTGTTGTTTTCGGTAAGCTTTCTATTTGTTGTTATTTGTCGTCTGTTAGGTTGTATTTCAGGTTGTTCGATTTTTCCCTTTTAGTAGGTTGTATTGCAGTCTTCGAGTGTTTTTGTTTTTTAACTGTCTGGCGGCTTTGGCTATTGGTGATTGTATCCTATTTTTCAATATCAATAAAACTGACTTTCTTTTGGGAAAAAGATAATTCAGGTTTGAGGAAATTCAAGCCAGGCACAGTAACCACGTCACTGTATTGTGCCCCTACTAAAACATTGGCTCGAACCTTTTCTTTTCCTCATATGGCAACCCCTTTCTGGTCAAAAAGAAAATCATTGTAACCAATTATCAAAGTCTGTACATCCAAACCAATTATACACACACATATATATATATATGTGTATGTGTGTATATTCCCCAGTTCGAGTGAAAAATTACGCATATTTACAAAATGATTTTTTTTTTCCATTTTCATTCAACATCTCATTCTCATCTCCTTATCTTGTGAGCACTAACACAAAACACGACACCTCACTGCTTTATAAATCAAACTCTTTAAATATATTATTTATCAGCATGTTTAATAATTTCGCTAAATGTAAAAGCCTTGGACCGTTTTTTTCAAGGAAAACTCATTACTCAACGGTCAGGGATTTAAATCCGACGAAGCGGTCATGATATCAAAAAGAAGCGAATCAGAAAAGAGAGAGAAAAGGGGGCGAAGGGAGGACGGGGTGGGGGTGAGCGAGACCCCTACTGAGCAGGCTTCGTCGATACAAGTTGGCCGTTAAGAGCTTGTTTAAATTGGCAAAAGTAAAAAATAACTTATTTTTATTTTGATTTTTAAAAAAAGTTATATTAGGTAATATAATTTATGTTTGAATTGATTTTTATAAATAAAAAATTAGAGTTATTTACATTATCTTTTTTAAAAATAAGTTTAGTTATAAAATTAAAAAAAACAAATTTTATTAAAATAATATACTATCTCTAGTTCTTAATATAAGCCTTTGTTTGACTTTTATTTTGATCCTAAATATAAGACACCAATCACTGTTTCTAATGTTTATACATTTTTTTCAAAATAGTCCTTTTAATAATAATAGTTCTAACCAATACACTTGATTAGTAAGGATATTTTATGAAAGACAACACCTATTTATTACAAATAACTAACTTAATCTATTTCTTTAATTGCCTCAAATCAGTCAATTAGCTCTTATAATTAGGACCGGAATATTTTATTCCCTCTCTTATGCCATACTTTCTAGTTACATTTTCTCATATATTTTCTTTTATCCTTTATTTTATTTATTACATATTTAAAATTAAAAGTACTCTCCGCAGTGCATAATATAAATCAGTTTTTAGAAGAATGACTTGATTCAAAATAAAAGTCATTTGACAAATTAACTAAAATGACTTGTATTATAAACAAGAGATAATATATTTACAACCAATTTATTACTTTTAATTAATTCTAATTAATTTTTTATTATCTACAAATTAATTATTTAAATCTTATAACAAGATTCAGATAAAGTACTAAATTTCTTAAAAGCAAGACCCAATTCTTTTTTAACTCTCTACTTCTTAAAAACCAAAAGCCAAAGCACTAAATTTTTACTTTTCACTTTAAGTGACTTTTTATCCAAAAGTTAAATTGCCAAATCATAAATCCAAACACCACAAATTTTATAACCACCGCACATTGGAGGCATATAAACACTTTCACAAACACGACATTAAATTGTATAAGTCAAAATTTTGATTCTTATAATTTTATCTTGCCACTTAATCATTAAACCCCGAGAAAAAGGTCTCAAACTCCAACGGCATCATCTCAATCAGTTAAATGGAAGCATAATCTAAGAAATCAAGGAAATAAATTGAAAAAAATAGGTTTCTAAACAAAGATTTGTAGCTTTAATTCAATAGGGTTCAATGTCTGAGTACTTCCTCATCAATTTTCCATAATTTTCACAATGTTTACATCCTTGAGTGGATTTTCATTGTTAGTTACAAACATAAATACGAGTAATTTCAGATTACAATAACCTTACATGAATCATGAAAATCCTAATGCAATATGCTAGACCAGATCAGTGTGATTACAAAACCCAGAGAAAACAAAAATTCAGTTAACCTGACCCACCAAAGAAAAACATAGGAACCAAATATTTGGGACGTCTTAGTAGTTCATCTATTCACCAGGGCAAGGGTAATAAAAAGGAAAAAAAAGGAAGCCCTTGAACCCCACATTTTTTTCAGGCCTTAAAAAAGAAACCCGTGTTTTAGACAATACCAGAAACTTCCTACCCTAATCACTTTTGAATACACGGAAAGAAAAAAAGCCTCGAGTATTTAATTTGGGTGCCCTTAGTACCACCTAACGATATACCTGTTGCCCATCATATTATCTCCTCTTGTTCGTCAGTACAGCTTAACAAGTTTTTAAGAAGGAGGTGCGGTATAAAAAGAGCTATCAGCAGCGGATTCATTTTGAGGCACGAAAGAAAATCCTCCTTGCTTACTTTACCATCATTGTCAATATCGAATACGACAAACAGATCATGAACCTGCACACACCCAGTTATCATAAATCAAATCACATAAATAAAAAGACGAATCTGAGTTACCTCATCCTGACGATAAAGGTAACACAAGTGAGTTACCTCATCCTCCTCCAAGTCGGGAATAGCAGGTCGGATGATATCTAATAACTGATTTAGACAAAAAGGAGAACAAGTCAGGATTAGTTCAACATTCACTTCCAAGCAAACTAAATAACAGGAAGAAGTAGAATACTTGTCGCTCGACTATATATTTGTTTATGCCACCCCCACATTCAGCAAAAGCTGATTGACATGTTTGATGAAATAATGGCTGCTTCATGACTTGGGCAGATTTAAACAAGAACTGGCAGAAAATCATAAACAAATGACTGTCACTAAGAGCTGAATATTACAAGCAACAATTTCAAATCAAACCCAAATTTGCAGATAGAAGCTTTCTGCCCACAAATCAGTGCAAATGTCAGCCAGTGTCATACCCCCTCTGTAATCTTCTAACCAGCACAATAGGGTAGATCAGAGGTTACCTGTTTAAATGTAACTGCTCCCTTCTTCTCTACATCAATGAATGAAAAAATCTGCAATCCAATATGATCATCTTCAGAAAAGAAAAGCAGGAAAAATAATTACTAAATCATGTAAAGAGAGGAGTTTAAAGCAGCAGAGAAAAGAAGAAACTTGGCATTCCAAGCTAGAAGGTACGAATTGACTAGCATATAAAGGGGAGAGGAAAGAAAGAGAAAAGTTAACATAAGATATGTGCCTATCCTTTCTTTTATGTATGCCACAGCAGCTTTCTAATGCTTCTTCTATCATAAACTTTGCAGCAACCTTGTTGAGAAACACGATTAAAGTGGACCTCTCAAAAGATAAGAAGTTCATCTGTTCCGCGATCTTAAAGTTTAATGTAGTTTAGAATACTAAGGTTTGAGTTTATCTATTCCATGATCAAGGATATCCAAAAATAGTTTTCTATGATCTTAGGGAAACATGCTCGGAAATGTCGTGAAATATTTGTGAGAATACTGAGGTTTGAGTAGACACAATTTTAGTTTCTATCTTCAGAGTGTCCAAAAGAAAAAGAGAGGACATGCCACAAGTAAAAGTCCCACGAGTGCAAAACTTTATCCACCTAACTTCTTATCTTGAATTTTGTGAAGCCCATGGGACTCGTGGATTTGAAAGATATTGGTCAAAACTTAAGCAATGTGACAGATAGTTCAACGGAGCAAAGAATAGATGATGGGGATAAAATCGAGGAAAAGAAAAGATGTGCCTCTTGCATCAGAAAAAGGTAGAACGGGTTGAGGGACTAAAAGCAAAATATGCTTAGGATGGATTTCTACTTTGGGGTTCAAAGGGAGATTGCACTTAATCAAGAGGATTAGCTTTTTAAAAATGATTTTACAGAATTCAAGATAAATAGAGAGGAGTTTTTGTCTTGGTTTGTGTGAAAGCACTTTAAAAAATGCTTTTCAAGGTAACCAAACACCCCTCCCCCCACGTAATAGCTTCAACAACATAACAGCAAAATACCTAATCATTTAAAGCAATGAGCTATTATTTTGCTGGTTTAAACCATTCTATTTACTACTTTCCCTGGCCTAGCAAAACATACAAAGAAGCTATAATGAATCCAAACAATTAGTATTGTTGAGAAAGAAAGCAGCCATTTGTTAACTAACCTCATCCGCTAGAAGGCAAGCTTTAAGTCCTAAAACCCTCAAGAAGTCATGATATTGAACATGACCACTGCAAGTAGAATAAAATCTTTACATTAAATCCACACAACAGTTTCACCTACATATGACTTCACGTAGGTCACTGATAAGTACATCAGGCGTGAGAGACCGCAAAGGAATATATGATAGGTATGCCAGTGATCATATGTGGTGTGCGCATAATGCGTAAAAGAAGTGCCCTAGTGTAGCACAGAAATTATATATAATCATATATACTGTATTATTACCAACAACGCCTATAAAGGATTCTTTCAGGTCAGTATAAAAATTCCATTGATGCTGTAGTTAAAGCAAAGATCCTCAATCCTGCTGCCCTTGTCCTACTTCGTTAAGAAAAATATATATTCTGAAGGAAATGATTAAATACACGAACTAGTGAGGCTTCAAACTTCAGGTCAAGGGACAGAAGTATTAACGCATTGGTCACCCAAGAGAAATCTTCCATAGAGTTATGAAATACTTCAAACATCCCCCCCCCCCACCCAAAAAAAAAAAAAAAAAAACTTATGAACGCAGTCAACTGAGAAAAAGAAACACCAACTGCTGCCAATAAACAATGATTTACTGCAGAATTTATTTTTCCCCCAAAGAAGAAAATATCCAGCGTCTATAATGACTAATAGTCAATTACTTACCATCAAAATACAGAATCAATTGATAACATATATTGTTTCCCTTGTACAAGAGAGGTTTTCCATGTTGATTGCAAATATGCAATCCAATAGTACCTGGGATCAGGATTCATGGAAAGGAATTTATCCAGGAATTCGACAGCTTCCAGGCTGCTTACACGGATGAACTGAAAAGAGACACAACTTTACTTTATCCTTCAATCACATGCGACAATCAATAGTATGTAATTTAAAAAATACAGACCAGATTATCTTAAATCCAACTGGAATATGGGAAACAACCAAAGTTTGAGAATGTTGAATTACAAAGATATGGGAGGCTGATGATCAGAGAGACACAAGTGTTAGACAGGCCCATATTATTTGCGGGAAAAATGAACAAGAATTTGATCTGTTGCATACTTTTAGTACTACATATTGGAAGAGTAATCAAAATTATAAAAGACCACTTCAACTCAGAAGATTAAACCATTAAGTAAAGGTTCATTAATAAAATCATAATCTCCAACATACCCTTTAGGCCTTTACTATGAAAGCCCTATGAGTTCAGGTTTGAATAACGCACTGCAGCCCTTGAGCTGAGACTTAATTTTGATCAAGAGAGCGATGGCAAAGATCGGATTTCTAATCAGCAACCACTTGGTCATGGAGACTTTGATACTAGTTGTTTAATAATGAAATAATCTATAACAGGAATTTTACTTTTTCTTGGTAAAAAGTAAATTATTGATGAGAAGAGAGAGAATGAAAAAACATGAACAAAGAGGACCAGAAAACAATTTAACACAACAAACCAGAAATGGAAAACGAATAATGACAGAAAAAGGGAAAAAAACAAAAGTGAGAGCAATGCTATTTGCAAATTCATCAAGCAACTACAAAGGGTTGCTCCTGGGAACAACTAAATTCATGGTGCCCTTCAATTTGTAGGACCACGAGGGCCAAATGTCAATTGCAAGTGTTGCATAAACTGAGCAATACTGTTGTACGTGCAAATTAGAAAGGGAAAACAGAAAGGAAGGTTTTTGCTTAGACGCCTGCAAATCTATGTGAACTGACTGAAAGAAAAAATAATTTACCAGGAACTTGACCATATCATCGAAGAACAGAAGATATATATTTTTACATAACATAATCATAGTGCATAAATTTTTAAGGACTCACTGATTCCGTTCTAGCCAATTCAACCATATAAAATGCAGGGTTCTCCTGAAAAATCAAATAAGGTGAAATATTAGCAGAAAAGACAGGATTGCAAAGTTGCACAGTAACAGGTGTAGCATCTCACTTGCTGAAAAGAAAACACATGCTATGACACACTAAGGATGCATAAAAATTTTCTGCAGAAAGGCAGAACTGATGAGAAAATATTTAACACCATCCTACATCCTAAGATGACCATATTTTGTGGTAACTTTTGATCATTGCAACCCTAGTCAAGAGCATTGGGCAAGTGAATAATAAGTTAAAATCTTTGCCCATGATATGCATTGAGGATGTAGAAGTGGATTTCATGTTTCAAAGAGTACGATGTAATTACAATAGTTGTCTTGGGATTTTGATATTAGCTTTGGAATATCAACAAGAGGTTTTAGAGGTAATGGCTCAACTTTCAGGTTTCAAAAATGGACATGTTACTTGAATTGATAAAGGAGAGAAAACTCAAAAATGGCACATTTGTTATAATGTCTACTGTTCCACCTTGGTGGTTTGTCAATGATTCGTGTAGAACTTCCTATGTGTTATACTTTCAACTTTGTAGAAGGTGCACAGATAGAACTTTTGTAAAATTTCTTAGGCTGAAGAAACAATATGTAGATTTTACATTTGAGTTTATGGATACAACAACAATAAAAAGTCTTATTCCACTAGGTGGGATTGGTTACATGTATAGCAGCACAATGCCATTGTGCTCTAACAACAAAATCTTTGGATAGAGATAAAAAAAATAATTAGATAATTGCTAATGACAAAAAATGCACCAAATGATAAGATCAATGCAGATTGACATAATGCACTATCAAGGAGAATAAATAGTCATCTAAAAGATGCAGAACAAAACAAATTTTTAGATCTCAAAAGCAACTAGGATGAACATAAATTGCTAAAAAAGTATCAAGAAATGCACCTGTTTTGCTTCCTTTGCTTTCATATAAAGCATCAGGTCTCCAAACGAATGTCCTGTTTGCACAGTATTTAATGAAGTTGCCATAACACGACTGGTCTGCATTTGTCCATGTTTATTAGTAATCGATTACCCACACAAGGTATGAAAGATGAAGAAATAGCATGGGAAATAACCGAAATTCAAACATCAAAGTCAACATTCTCTATTTTTAACAATAGGGCCTGGAGACTTCTTGGTTCATCATGTTATTGCTTTAAGTTTACATCCAAACTCAGAAGAGAGAACATAATTTTTTTAAGAAAATGTAAAATTAATAAATTTATAATTTCTGCACCATAAGAGGCATGATGCAATGGATACCAGCAAATAAAACTCATTCGTATACAGAAAATGCTTGAATTTAGAGATCAATTGTTTTTCAAAACCAAGTTTTCTCCCTCAACTCAATTCCAATTATAAAATAATAACTAATCATATTAAAAAGCTTACAGCATAGAGGTTCTCACCTTGTCATGGTTTTCTAAATTATGCAGCCAAAGAATAAGTTTTGAAATAAAAAAGGGGAAAACAAGAATTGAATGGTGCAGGAGTATAAACTCACCCTCTCAGCAAATTGTGAAGCAGTTTCCTTTTTATCACCTAAAGTTGAAACGACAGGAAGGTACTCTACCTGTGTCATTTAAGTGAATGCTTTAAGTTACTTCGAGAACAGCTTACCCAACTAGGCAGCACACAACACCCTCGCAGGCCCAATTAAAAAACAGAGAGAGACAGGAAAAAGAAAAGAAAACCACCTCCAAAGAAACCAATCCAAAGGGGAGTATACCTCAAAAAAATTATGGAACTGAGTGAACATCCTGAACATGAGCCTTGCTAAAGAAACATTACCCCTATGAAAAATTGCATGCCAAAAAAAAAAAGTGATCAGACACCCGTTGAAACTACAAGATTACAAGAATGATAGTACAATCAAAAAATATATCCTACCACGACTGGTCAAAGTGTACATGAGGATAACGAACTATAACAGGCTGAATTGGGTAACCAGGAATAAATGCACCAAGTTGAAAGGAAATAAGATTTCTGCCATTAGTTGTAGTTCCCTCTGGAAACAAAAGTACTCGAGGAAATCTATCGCTAGAAACCCTTCTCTGTTATTCACATCCTTAAAAGCAGATTTCTGTATCAGACAGCTAATAATATGATAACTTGTATGAAGCAAAATCATACTAAAACATGGTAATCAAATGGTATGATAACTTATAGTTTCCAATGAGCCACAAAGATGGGATATAAGTCCATAGCAGTGTTGTACTGTTGTTAAATGTTGTCTGTGCCTTTAATGAAAAAACAAAGACATCAACTGAAATTATTTCAAAAAACTAGTTACTTACAAATTTATGATAATGAGCTTATCAGCTTATATTTAAGTACTTCACGATGGTAACAGATTTATTATACCTTTACACACACCATTCGGATATCCATATGCCATATTTTATATTTCAAGCTACATCTTAGTTGCTACTAAATCTTAAGATTCAAAAGGTTTTTACAATTCAGATTCAGAAATAAGTTTTAAATTTTGTGATATGCGCAATAACAATTTGATAACTATGACCCAAACTAATCTATCACATGGTCTTCACAAGTTCTAAGGATTTTTTCATCTTTCTGTTGAGTTACAAACTTAAAATATCAGAAACTTTTGAAGTTGAACCGTATGCATCATCCTTAATGAAATACTTTAAGGCGGTACACTCAATCCTTTAAATTGCAAAATCAGTATTATTATCTTGCATCAACTGATATCGAGCCTTTGAAAACACAACAGTGACAATAATAAAAGTACATAGGAATTTCTTCTGTTTGGAAAGATTACTGATCAAATGAGGACAAAGAAATAATAGAAAACTCCTACCTTTATTTCTTGGACAGCCTGCTTCCTTGATGACGGTGAGAACCTGTTGACATATACCACCTAAAAACAAGAAAGGGAGAGGAAATATCAAATTAGCTAGAATTGTACTTTTGTCATCGAACCAGTGGAAGGTTGGTTTTAAGGTTTCATAGTTCCGCCATGCTCATAATGGGTCTCTCTCTCTCTCTAGTCTGCATACACATACAGTTTTTTTCTAGATTGATTTTACAGGACAAACCATGTGATAGAGAGGACCCATTCCCTGTTTGAGCAGCCAATTCTCAAAAGACTAGAAAATGAAAACCACTGCATGTTATCTAATATATGAAATTGAGCACGCAAAATGTAGATAGGAAATCAAAATTACCTGCATTGCTCTGATAATGGTGCCAACAAAAGGTAAGGAGTCATGGGACTCGGACGCCACAATGGTAGGGAATAATTCATAGAAGAAAAAGATGGGCTCAACGTAAGATACATGATTAGATACAATTATCGGAGCAGTTTCCCTTGGTGCAGGTCTTCCCTTCCGTCTTATCCAGTGATAACTGCCATGGATAGAAGAATGCAACGTGAGAGAAGCCTTTAGCTCCAGAAGAACCTAATTAAGCTAAACACCACACACATTCGTATATATAGCAAGTTGTAGTCATTGGGCGGTCAATTAAAATTCCATACATTCTACGCTTCCTCAGTTTATTTACGGAGTATCTATTTCAAAACGAAAAGTGAATCGGCAGCCAGGAAATGCAGGAGGCCATTGTATGATGCATATGAAACTTTTATAATTAGTTGAATGACAGTGAAATTGAGGAGGCTATTATATCTCATATTTAAAAATGAGGCTCCATCAGGAATTTATTCATGACAGTATGAGGTCGTTCTTTTCTGTAATCTTAGTTCCCGGATGACAAATAAACTCAAAATTGAAAAATACTCTAGATTTTAAAACCAAACATTCCATTCCGTGATTGAAAGTTACATGCTTCATTTACGCAAGCCATAAGTCATGTCCTTAGGCTTTTCTTTCATTCACCCAATAGCTTCTCTTCTTCCTTTTTCAAGTAACATTTAGATCTGCCTGCCATTCGTTATTGTTTTTGCGTCGTTCGACCCAAGCTCGAAAAATTAAAGAAGTATATTTGCTGCTTCTACCATGATATTATAGCTTCGTATTTACAACGTAAGAATAGCCATTACACGTTATGTGCCATTACCTAATGTAAGGAATAGACTAAATTACCAAACTGCACCCACCCTATGGCCCAACTTTATATACCCCTCCAAGTCCTCGCTAGCTAATTTAGCGTGAGAAAAACATTTATTGACAAAATCCAACATACCCAAAAGAAAAAAGTATGCAGCGGCCGCACATTCTGGTGATCCACATAAGCCTGCATCTCCATCTCGGCATCGGATTCTGCTTATCCTTCCATCCCTCAAGGGCCAATTTCGTGGCGGCATACCCGACCGACAAAGCCAGCCCAAAGAGAACAAGACGGACCAAGGCAATCGGCAAACAAATGATAAGTTTCAACCACTCGTAGACCCCTCAATGTACGGCGTGTTGTTGCGGAACGGATCCACCGTGGTGGGCTGAGACACGTACAAGTCCTCGCACCCGAGAGATCGAAAGGGGTTGCAAGAACCCACTAGGGTTCCGCCGTTCGAGCGATGGTCGTGATGATGCTGGAAATTGCTGTTGTCACTTCCACTGTGGGATTGAGTCGATGAACGTTCAGAGTCATCATCGCGCACCGTAAGGACCACCTGATCGGAGGGCTGGGAAGAAAGGAGAGGGGAGGTGATGCCATGGTCCGCCATTGTCAGTTTCGATGGGAAGTGAAGGAAGAGAAGAAGATGGAGAAGCAGCAGGCAGCTGCTAGACAAAGGGGAAAACCGAGGAAGGGAAAGGTAGGTGGAAAATGGAAATCGAATATTACCGCGGAATAGGATCATGTCGACAACACATGGATATATATATCGTACGCTTAGGTTCCCGGAAAAACTGAAAAAAAAAAATCAACAAATTACGAACGACGTTGAAGGGGAAGGGGACTTAGATTTTGTATGGAAAAAAGTATGGAAAAAATTTATTATTTTGCATATTATGTCATTTATAGCAATTATAGACGGTAAAATTTAGTTGATGTTATCGTTAATTTTAGAATTTCAAAAATTTCAATAAAACATCCTTATTAATTAAAATATACATATTTTAATTAAATAAAGATTATTCTAGCCAAAAAGTTTTTAAACTTTAACTAAACGGACGTAATTCCTTTTAGTATTTTTCCAAAACATATGATTATAATATTATACCCCCACGCTACATGTATTTTTTTCCCAAAGAACTTCATTTATGACAGCGTATGATCCCAGCATGCGGCACGTGGATTATATTATTAAATAAACTCGTAAAGGTGCCAGCCACGTGCTCCTGACGGGGCCTGCTCATTGTTTTTGTTTGACGCTCCCTTGTTTCCGCCTTGATTTTTCTTCTTGGATTTAATTTTTTCCTGAAAAGAATTGTTGCTTTTTTTTTTTGGACCAGCAGAATTGTTGCTTAATGGAGGAAGACCCTTGAATTGGTTTGGTCAAAGATCTTACAAAACTGTTGACCCTTCAGTGTTTTGATTTGATGCAAGAGCATGGTTGGATGTTTGATGTACATTGCTTACCATACCAACAATGGAGATTGTTATTAGTATTCAAGTAGATAATTATTACGATTTCTATAAAATTATTATTAGTATATATAGAATGACAATATGAATTATATATAAGACTTATTTTACATGTTTATTATTTTTTTCTTTTCAAATTAACCTTATTGATTTTTTGATAATAATGATCGAGGGAGAGAGGAAGTTAAAAAAAATATTTAAAATATTTTAGAAAAATATATCACATATATTAATTTAGTTAATATTTTTAATTTATTTAAATTAATTAATTAGATTATATAGTAAGTAACAGAAGAATTCGAATTTCCCACCCATTCACTGCTTGAGTGAAATAATGTTGCGGGGTAAAGTCCGCAATGCAGGTCTGGTTTCATTGGACTACCCGTTTAAGATATTTTTTTGGCTTTGAAAAAAGCAGCTGAGACCTACAAATTAGGAGATTTTAGTACAAAGGGGTTTTCGGGACCGGCCAATTTGTATAAGATGTAAAGATTTTTGTAAGCCAGAGAAAAAAGGGTTCAGGCTACTGTTTTAAACCCATTTTGTTTTTCCTTCAAATTTTTACAAGGCATAATTTTAAAGGGTTGAATACTCCCATTTTATTTTTGAATGATGAAGATGATGAATTAAAAAATATTTAATTAAAAATTTGTACTTTAAGATAATTTCTATTTGTCATTTAATATTTATATTTGTACTACTATTTAGTTCGGCATTTAATTTGCTCTTTTAAACATTCATTTTTTGTCCTTTGGGATTTACACATGTAGTTATCTCATTCGGGTTTTTTTGGCCTGAAAAAAAATATTCGGGTTTTAAAGCTTGACCTTAAAACTGATGAATTAAAATGGGGTTTGAGAAAATGTCGGACTTTAAAGCAAAAGACGTTAATGGAAGCAAAAAGAATTTACAAGTCATTAAGAAAACTAAAACTAATTAAATAGCGTGTGCGCGTATTCATGAATTATGACAGCGAGGTCACATGGCACCAACATTAAATCCGGCCCATTAAAATTAAAAATATCAGCTAGAATGTGTGACGAAAAAAAGAATCTGAAGGACTGAAAAACTAACAGCATGCTCAGAATCCCCCCCGGGGGGGAGGTGTTCATCAACCCGACTCTCCAGGATTCATGATTACAGATTGGATTTGGGCCAAAAAAAAAAAACCGGTTAGATGACTCTATCCGTCTGTTTTGTGACAAGCATTTAAAAGCATTTATAAGCAACGGGAGTTGATCCAAGCGGTAAGCGGCTGGGTACTGTTTAAGTAAGGTCTTGAGTTTGAGTCTCAGTGTATACAGAAATCTCGGTTGGGAGATTCACCCACCACAATCAGGTGCACGACGTGGGTCGGATCCAGATGTAGTTGGAGTAAAGCTCCGGTAAACTGGATGGGCAACTAATAAAAAAAGCATTTATACGCATATTTTATAAAAATTAAGATAAAACCCATCTCATGTGTTTATACCTTGAGAGTTTATGACAGCGAGGTCGCAATTGGCGGAAAAAAAAAAAAAAAAGATGACAGCAAGGTCACATGGCACCACCACCACTAAATCCGGCTCATTAAATTAAAAATATCAGCGAGAATGTGTGAGGGGAAAAAAAATTAAAGGACTGAAAACTGACACCATGCTCAGAATCGGGGGGGAGAAAAGGTGTCCAACTGTCCATTGCCCCGACTCTACAGGATTCATGTTTACACATTGGATTTTGGCCAAAAAAAAAAAAAAACCCCGTTGGATAACTCCATCGGTCTGTTTTGGTGTCTTGGAAAAACATTTAAAAACATTTATAAATACATTTTATAAAAAATTAAGATAAAACTTATCTTTTATATACTTATCTCATATTTTATAAATTATAATTAAAAAAAGATTACCTATTGGATAACTCTATCGGTCTGTTTTAGAACGACATTTAAAAGCACTTATAAGTATATTTTACGAAACTTAAGATAAAAATCCTCTTATATATTTATCTCATATCTAGCAAATTATGATTGAAAAACTATTTATAAATTATTTTACATGGACCCTGAAGAAAAGTTGTACGCGCTGATAATAGTTGTACCTGTTCCAATTTTAATTTTTTTTTACCCAACAAAATTTTCAAACAGATGCTATTTACTGATTTGCCCTTTATTTTACCTTCACAATGAATACATTACATATATGAAACTTTTTAAATTTGTTAAAAAATTTTATCCAAAAACATTTGGTAAAATATCGTTTTCATTCAGATTATGAAACAAAATGCGGAATCTCAGATTTGTCTAAATCCCAACCCACAGAGACAATATTTGTTTTAAAATTTAAAGAGACAACGGACTTTGTTTTTCCAGCCACATCGCTGCAATATTCCACAGATGCCAGTGCAAAAGAATAAAGCAGGACAAATCTAAATACGAACATTTTGGGGAATGTATTTTGAATTTTAATTCTAATATTTTTACTCTAAGAAAATATGACATAAAATGAAATTGCTTTTTCAAACACAATTTTTTAAAGAAAATAATACTTCAGGATAAAAAAATTTAAAAATATAAAATTCGAGGAATCGACGGGACAGGAGTGATAAATGGGGTCCGAGGCGCATCTAATGCCGACACGTCTAATAAGGTGAGAGCACTGCAACCACATTTTTAGTTCTTCCGCTCTTAACAAGGTATACACCCTTAGCGTTGGCCCCAAAAAAGTACCCTTCGCCTTTTATTTCTTTTGGATAAAAGCATACCGTTCGCATTTTAAGCTCCCTTTCTTCTTGATAATAATATCTGCTTTTAAGTCACACAGAAGTGAGAATAACGGTATAAGCCAGACCAATCAACACTTAGGATGCAAATTCCAGCAGGACCACAAATACACATGATAACAATGTCAGCTCTTTCCCACAGCGTAGCTTTCTACATCATGCGACTACGCATATAGGAGGAGCATATTCCAGAGCTTCTGTTACAATGAACCGCATGTCAGCTTCTAGCTAATTTACTATTTTATCCCTATCTTCCAAAATGCAGTTCAACCACCAGCAGTACCATAGGGATCAGGCGCAGAAGCAAAAGTTTGGACAAATAGGATCATCAACGCAGGTTCCTTGAAAGGTCCCCCTTTCTCTGACTATTTTCACCGATAATACTTTAATCCAACCTTAAAGGAACTTCTCACTCACGGCTACTATTTGCATCATCAAAAACGGGATTTCATCACCAATGCAAACAGCAGTACTAATATCATAAGGTGCTTCTATCATCAAACTTGTCACATGCCTCTTCTCCGGAGGTTAAGTTATCATCAGAATCATCAAACAATTCTCGATGTGTAAATGAGTATCCATCCTCGGGGGGGTTGAAATCGGCTCCCCTCCAAACCACAATCTGTTCTTTGTCAAATGTCACCAGAATACAAGGCACCAGGTCCTGCATTTATAAAATAAGATACTTAAAAACGAACAACTTAACTTAAGGTCTAGAGCTCAGGGGAGCGAACTTGAAAGCCAGAAATTAAATCTTCTAGGCAAACAGTATTGAAAGGCAGATAAAAGAAGCTGTTATTGTAATTAAAAGTCCACCATGATGGAGCATAGAAATAAAATGCAGGACAAATGGTTTCAATCAATTAACTGTTGGGCTGCCCAAGGCTGAATATAGTTTGCTTATTGGTACGGTTTCTTAGTTAAAGTGATGACATATTTGCTTGAAAATTTTCAAGACAGACCGTTTTCTCAGTTGTTTAATCCAATTTTTACATGGAGGCCACCACATCATCCATTAAGGTGGCAAAGTCATTTTTGACATGCTGCTATTTGGTGCTCTATGCAATAGACAGACTGACCCAAGATAAAACATAACAAAAAGAAAACACATATAGCTCCTCCGAAGAGCAACCTAAAATAGAAGTGTAGAAGTAACATGTCTTTACCCGAAGCTTGCAGCTAATTTTCTTGTAATCACTCTTCTCAAGACCTTGGCAGTCAATCCGAACCAATTCACATGAGAGAAAAGCATCTCTCACCATGGGCACCAAACTACCGTAATAACCATTTTTGGCTACAGTAAACTTCATAATCAGCAAACTGTGCAAGTACAAATCAGCGACTGCTACTATAAAATACAACTAGAACATACCAAGCTTTGTTAAAGCGGGGACGGCCAATCCTTTCTTCCTCATTTCCTTTGTTTCCTCAATACTTAAGCCTTCAATTGTTGTCTTAATGAGTCTTGGATATATGGGTTCATGGGGTCTCCACAACATGAGAGGTATTACAGGCCTCCTTCTGGGATTATAATTCCTGCCTCTATACAATACAAGGGTACCTCCATGTCTATGAATAATCTTTCCAAATGTTTTATCCTGCAAAAAGAAAATTGAAATTTGCTTCAGTGCTTGCATAAGCGGTTGAATTTGAAGATAAGAATTTACAACAGCATCCGACATACAATTCTACTGCCAAAATAAAAGCCCAAGGAATATAATTATCCCCTAGAAACAACAAAGCATCATAGAAACTTCAAGCGGAACAAAATAAGATCCATTCGATCCCAAAGACAACCTTGATCAAAATTAAAAATCACAAAGCCAACATTGTTAGGAGAAAAATGCAAATTTCTTTAAAGAGATATATACCTCCAGCTGGGTGCAAACATTTTTCATGTCCACAGTAGGCACACCCATACATTTAATCCTAACTGCTTCTGCATGCTTCCAGTGATTATGAATATCATTCAGCATATTGTGAGTTAAACCATCCCTCCCTGCAACTCAAAAAGAAACACAAGCACACGTAGGGGTTCAATAATTGACAGCGGAAGAGATGAGGAGGACAAAACACAGTCCAAAATGTTGTTTAATTTTTTTAGCTTTTGTCTAGCGTAAAATTGTAGAGGCATGAAAAATGTGCACCTAAACAGAAAAATTCCGCCCCCAAACCCCCCTTCCCCCCAATTTTAAGAAGCAAAAATAAACCTTCATACCCGACCTAATTCAAATTTATGACCTATTGCTCAGCAACGTGAAGAACTCCAGCCTTGTTGCCAAACATACACTATAGTCCACAAATCAGCGTTTACATTACCTTCAAAAACTATAACAAAACCAAACAGGCCAAAAAGGAAAAACCAAAACCAGCACTTACCCAAGTTTATTTGCCTCTTAGTTTTACTCCTTTCGCACTTCGAAACCAGCACCTTCCTCTCAGCCGAAGTAAGTGGCTTACCTTGAATTAACTCTCTCTTCTTCATCCTCTGTTCCGTCATGTTCGGATCCTCCTGCCCCTCTAAACTCTTCACCTTTGGGTCCACCGCCGGAGCACAAACCCCAGTCCATGGCCGTTCAAGCCTGCCCGGTCCAAACGGCGAGTACTTGGGCTCTCTAAGCCCAATCGGCCTCACTGAGGGGCTACTTTCCGTGTAGCTATATCGAAAATCAAAGGGCAAATCGGAATGTACTGGCTTTCGCCCTGTTCGATCAAGCGATGAAGGGGGACGGTATTGGGGTTTTAGCTTTTTCTTCGGTTTGACGATTGTATCGGTGGGATTTTGGGATGTGGGGGAAAGTGATGCGGGGGGTTCGAAAGAGTAGCAATCGTGGAGTTTGGAAGAGGCATCGGAAGCGGTGGCCGAGGAGAGACGGCGCGTGAGGAGCGTGAGTGCGAGTGACACAGTAGATGAATTTTGGCGGGAGAGAGGAGTTACGCGGGACATTAGGGTTTAAGTTGTCAGCATAGGATGATTGCTCGGTGGCGAAGAGTGGGGCTGTAGCCTAGCCCTGCATTTTGAAATTAAATGACAACCGGGATGATCTTAGAAAAGCCCATTATTTGACGATGAATTCTCAAAAATTAAAAAAAAAATGGACGTAAATAATTTTAGAAAAATTGCATTAAGATTCATCCCAGAAAATTAGATACAAAAAAGTTTCTTAAAATTATCAAATTAATCTAAAATCTTAAAAAATCTCATTATAAGATATTCTACTTATTCAATTGCTAAATTGTTTCCGTCTTTTTTTTTTTAGTATGTTTTGACAACTAAAAGGATATTCTTTAACGACTTTAAGGGCAACGATTAGCATAAGTACCAATAACTTATGCATTAAATTTTTGTGACACGCTGAAAAATTTTGTTGTTAACATCTCCTGTAATGATTGTTAATTGTTGATCCTTAAGTAGTTAATAACTACCCTTTCAGTTGTCAATGTACACTTAAAAAAAAAAGAGGGCATCTTAGTAATTAAACAAGTAAAATCTCTTATAATAAAATTTCTTGGGACTTTAGATTAATTTGATGATTTTAAGGGATTTTTTTTAATATTTAATTTTCTTGGTGAGATCTTAATGCACTTTTTCCAATAATTTTTGTCTAGATGCTCAAAATTCTCTAAATTTGTTGATGAATTAGATTTATGAACAATTTATTATTATAAAATATTTATTATTAAGCCAAAGTCGTCATATAACAACTAGAGAAATGCCCCAGCTGCTACACACATCAGCATTTATACGCACACGCCGTCCTATATGCTAAATAGCAAAATGATTACAATAACAAGTGATTAGACTGCCCATTTATAAATTGACCAGAGTAGTACACAGATATGTTTATGCCTATTAAAGCATAACGTAGGAAGATGCTATGTTTATGCGAGGCACGCGGTAACTTTCTCCAAGAAGCTATATGCATGGTGTTTTCAACGCTGCGTTTGCAAGAGTCATTGGCAGTAGGAACTAGGAAGGTGCATCCTTCTAAGCTACAAAACGGATAGCCAGCCTTTGCTTTAATTGTCAACTAATTGGCCATGTTCATTGTTGTTGTTCTCATGGCTCACTCTTCCATCAAGACAACGTTTAATTGGAGTACCTTTTAATATATTATACAAGATCCACGTACTGAGGATACGTGTGAATCTTTGATTTTGAAACATTTCGTCGGAGCTTTCTCTGCAAGTTCTTAGTCCGGTACAAGGTTCACTGGTCAATGGGGAAGATGTAGAACTTGCTGAAAATAGATCTAAAATGGCAAGGTTTCACGAGGGCATTTCTCAAGGCCTTATCTCGCCAGCCGAGGTCACAATCAAGATTTTTTCACCGCAAAGTATTTGTTAGCCGGAGGGAAAACTTGAATTGGCTTCCACATCAGTTCTTGCATCAGAACTTGTATGGAATGTAGTCATCCACTATAAACTAAATTTCGCCTATACGCAATCCACCATTTCATCTCACTCTTCCGTCCACTTCACCTCATCTCACTTCTGTTCCGTCACTCTTCCTCTGCTCTTCAACATCTCCATTACCATTTCCCTTTCAGAGAAGGGAAAATTTCTGCCTCGACTTGCATGCAAATAGGAAGATCTTTTCTGCAAGACTCTCCAGGACATCGAGAGGGCAGTCCAAGTGGCCCTTTGTCAACTTCTTTATCTCTGGGACCAAAGCTGGGCTTCGTGACAACTTCTTAAATGACAATCACTTGGGGAAGGAAGCGTCTGCTGGATGAGACTCACGCTCTTAAATTGCGTTCAGGCGGAAATCCTGCTCCTTATTGCTCCCAAACCCCACAATTTATTAGTTCAGAAAAGGAAAAACCAAAGAGACCGTATCATCCGCTTCAAAATTGTAACCCTTCTACTAAATAATGTGTATACATACATCCTATTCTGACAGACGGAAGCAAAAAGTGCATGCAATTATCGGATATGTCAATATCAACGTCAGTATAAAATATAAATGCTAGTACAGACTGTACTATTCACAGGTAGCTGGTATGGTTCATTCTTTAGATTCTTTGCAATTATCAAGGACCAGCCCAATTAATCAAATGGTTAGATTCTCTTGGATGGCAAGGAATGATCCAACTATCCTTCCTCCCACATCGGGGAATTCTTCATGGCCAGGAAGGGATCTAACCTTACCATTCCGATCAACTTCAACCGGGTATTTGAGAAGGTGCCCTCTCATCTCTGTTATTTCATTCGCTGCAAATTGCTTCCAGTTAATTTCACCCATTGTTCTAATCCTTCTTACACATTCAAGGCTCTCCGGCCGTAAGAAGCACTCTTCAAGTGTTCCTGTGTGTTCAGCCCAAAGTGACATCCTATATCCATGGACCTTCATAGCATAGTTTTGCAAGGAGAATATGCAATTATCAAAAAAAATAAAACTAAACCAATATGTCCTTGAAAGCAGTCCAGTTGTTTAATAACTTAAACTCCTAGGTGGCCCTTGTCCCGGTAATAACATAGAAATCTTACCTCACCACATGGATAAGAACGTTGTCTTGCCCACGTATAATTAGGTTGGTAGGCTCCCATTGCAATCTCAGTGTCCCTTGTTCCTTCCATAGAGCGTTGATTGATGTTTGCAGACCCCAATATTACGTATTCATCATCAACTATCATGCCTTTTGAATGAACATAAATCATGAAACGACGGCTATTTCGACTAAATGCCTGTGAATATAACACCAACAGACAAGAGATTTGGATGTCCATAGTGATTGCATGCCATTGAAAACATGTCAAGTGTCAAACTCTGATTCAAGTCTTACTTTACGCCATACGTTCAAGGAAATAAAAAGCACAAGACGACCATGACATACGGCAACAAGAATAGAGAATTATCAGATTTTTAATAATTTGATATCCGATGAATGCAAAATTTATTGTTAACACAAGAAACATCAATCAGCAAGCATTTCTTTTCTACTGCTGATATTATAGTTCTGGATTTTGGCAATTACCTTCACACTAAGAGGCTTTTTGAAATCAGCAATAAAACTTAGACAAAACACAAATAGAGTACCTCAGATGTCTGCGATCAGGTTTTCCAATAAAAATATAACATGTAAAGAATTTCCACAACTCAACCTTGCACAATTGATTCTCTTTAGAATGCTGCTCCACATTTCATGTTTTTTGTGAACATTTTATGTTAATTAATTGGAGAATTTTATCGTAAATTGAATTTTGTGTCTAAAATATGTGGGGGAGTAATGTATAGGACAGGTAGGAGAGGGAAGAAGGGGGGAGAGAGAGAATGATACTTGAGGACTATTTGCTGGAGGAGGAGTTCCAAGCATACTACTATAATCATACATATCTATGATTTCCCGATTTCCGAGACAAAAGAAGTTTAAATAATCCTGTGGAGCGAATGCTGCTTCCAGCCCAGCCTCAACCAAAGCCTTTGAAACTGTTTCATACATCATTTGCATTGTCTTTTGCTGCACCAATCAAACAATTAATCCAGATTAACAAATGGCATAACCAAGTGCTACAATTGTTACGTGGACATTTCTCATATGAAAATTGCTACAATTGTAGCATTCTTAGGAAAATCATAGTGCAGCGGGATATATTCCAACAGTCAAGCTGTAAACTCAAGTCATCAAGTTCTCATTCATGCATGAAAAAAACGGTGATTGAACTCTTGCACGTGAGAAGCAAAGGAATCCTCAGATTTAAATGCATTTCTGATCCTTAAAACTCCAAGTTAATGCTTGTCAAGTGAACTTTTGAGCAGCAATGGTTCAAAATTGCTGCCAAATGTCTTTAGTGAGGCAGAATATCGATGCTGTTAATTGCTAAGGTTTTGACTGTTGAAGACGAGCCATTGTTATAAGGTTCACTAAGTACTGTTGTACTTGTATCCGGAAAATCTATTGGCTCGAATGAGAAAGAATAGTTGGCCAAATAAATTAAAAAAAAAAAAGAGAGAGAGAATGAGCAAGAATCACTTGGTGCTAAGAAGAACAATGCCGAAGCTGAGTAGAAGACTTTGGCTTAAGGAATCTATGAAGGTTTATCATTAAAGAGATTACTAGGTAAATTAAAGATCAGTGAACTATGAACCCGGTTTTCATGACATTGAAGTCAAGTTGGGATGATTAATATACACACCCTAACTTGAAGGGGAGGGTTGGTCATCAGCTGTCCTGATTGTTGAAAAATCCTGGCCATTAGGATTAACCCATTCTACCCTTGCCAGATCTGATAATGTATGTGACCTTAATCCAAAATCCCATGCGATCCGGTTTGCACCTTTATGACCTCTTTTCATTGACATGTTTTATGACCTTTTATTTCCCCTTATCAATGTCTTTTATTTCCCCTTATTTTCTTTCCTTTTGAGGTTTCTTGTATCTGAAGATTCTGGTTGTCTCTCCATGGCCATGGTCCCTATAAATTGTCCTCCTTCGTGTTTGAATAAAACTGAAGAATTAATAATCATTTTTTCTAAATTTTAAATTTTTCTGGTTGTATGGGATTTGATTAAGAGGCTTGTCTCCTTTTCCACAGCTGTATAAATAAGCTTTCACCTTCAATAAAATTCAAATCAGAGCATTGTTCTCGACTACCAAAGTCCACAATAAATTTTCAAGATAAATCCATCTCTAGCTGGCTAAAAGACTTAGGGTGTGTTTGGATGAAACCAAACCGTGGTTTGGAAAAGTAATTCTGGAGAATAGATTCTGTGGAGAATAAATTTTGTAGAGAATAGATTCTGAGAAAAAGTGATTCTGAGAAGTGAGAGTGTTTGGATAGTTATTACCAGAAGCACTTTTTACATGTTGAAATTACCAAAAAAGGTATAAGTTAATATGATAATTATATAAGGGATAGATTTTATGATTTATTTTGATTTGAAGAAATAAAATTGTTAATGAAATTTTTTTTACTAACATAATTAATAATATATAAGATAATATAATTAATACATAATTAATATGTGTACATATATTTATAAAACATAATATTAAATATGTTTATAGAAAAATGATTTTTTTTATAATAGAAAAATATTAATTTTCTTTAAAGATTGTAAACGTAACATCAACTATCAAAAATATTAATATATATTATTGTGGGGTGTTGTGTGGACCGACTGGGGAGAAGGCGTGAACGAGGAGAGGAATTATTGAACACAGAGCAAGTATTGAACACCCGAATAATTGGAGGCTTTGGTCATTTGTGGAGGGCCCACCGTTCGTTTCAGCAATTGGACCTGAGAAGCAGATGAGAGATGCTGCCGTCCAAACCATGGTTTCACCGGTTGAAACCATGGTTTTACCTGAACCAAGGTTTGTTTAATTTGTCTGGCTGTTTGGATGGTATTTTGTGCAAACCATGGTTTGGGCTTCCAAACCAAGGTTTGCAATGCCATCCAAACAGTGCCTTAGTAACATAGGTAGGTAATGAAGTCTAGCTTTTAAGTTGTTTCATGAGGTATCAAGTAGCATTCCCATTAAAGCCATTTGAACCAGCAATCATAAGCTTTTAAGTTGTTTCATGAGGTATCAAGTAGCATTCCCATTAAGGCCATTCGAACCAGCAATCATATACTTTCTTAATACAGTATCTCTCTTTCATGTCTTGAAGTATACCTGCCAAAATAGAATCCTCTGTGTGGCAGACCCGGATGGAACACCCTCCGGCCACATTGGTATAATAATATACACTGCAAATCTCTCATTTGCCTTTATCTTTTCCACAATCTTAAGGGCAATTTCCATTGGAATCAAGTTATTAGCACCTACAGAATCAAGGAAAGCAAGTTTTAACTTATCTGATACATCAGGGCAGCAACTACTCAATTAAGTTAGTAGAAGATAGTCTCCATGTTTTATGCCTACAAAAGCTTATATGATACATCATGCTCATATATCTTCTAGCAAATCCTGAAAGACGCTACCAAATGCTCAGATGATGCCATTCTTGAAGACCGTTGTGGAAAAAAGAGTTCCACATACCTAGGTCTTTATATTGACTCCAATTGTACGAAGACCCAATGAAATATTGATTCTCTATATAAATGTAATGCTGAGCAGCACGAATGGCCTTCACATATGCTGTATGTATGCTCATGTCAATCAATACATTCTTCCCACAGACTAGGTTCTGTAAAAGTCACAGTAAAATTTAGACTTTATATAGTCACACAAAGCATGGTTCAAATCTGATGAACTGAAATGAAGCATAATTTTTTTACCCAAAATAAAGCCAAAACTTTCATTCACCTTCTTTGTTGCATTTTTGGGATCTTTTGGAAATCCCTTAACAGAATTTGAATCGATCGACCGAAATATCTGCACCCCGAAGTAAATAGAATGAATAGTTTCCTTTATGTAGGTTTGATTCAACAAAAATATCTACTCAATTTGACCAACTGATTGCCTGAACATGCCAAGAATCGGGATCATCATCATCTACAGCCATATCAGCTAAGCTAACAATTTCTGGAAGTCTTTCCAGCTTAAGCAAAGCATCATCGTAAGAAGCTTTCAACTTTTTAATCCCTTGAGGCTTTGTAGCTTTTAACCACCGCTCCTCAAAGTTGGTCAGAACATCATAAGCTGCTGGACCGTCAATTTTAGAATGCAAGTCATGCCATGGCTCCCGTGGACAACCACCAGTGTTACCCTATCATGTGACAATTATGTCATAGGAATAATTGGTTACTACAATCAATTATTACTTTTTATTTTCAGCTTATTCTATCATAGTTACAAATTTCACCGTGATTGTAAATTGCTTGACATCAGAACCTTGAACTAAAAACATCCCCGGCATAAATGCATGGGTTTCACAGACGGACTCTTGTAGAATAGTAATGACTGGAGGGGAGAGGAAGGAGAAGGAGGGAGGAGGAAGTTGCAACTTGCAAGCGAAAATGATACAAATAACTGATATTTTATTTTGGCCAACAGAGACAAATAACTGATTATTTTTTGGAGTAATGGCACAAAAATATTTAAAATTACTTTTTTTATTTTAACTTTTACATTTATATTTTATTTTATTGTTCATTTAATCGCATCGAGCCCAAGATGTCATCCTATTCTTCACAAACTGTTGCAAGAAATGATCATTATTGGACATTCAAAAAATAGGAGGAAGCAAGACTGGAATTGATCCCCTTCCTTAGTTTTCACAACACAGTCAATGTAGATTTAGCTGATCAGTGCTAATTAACAAACCAAATTGCAATTCAGAGGATGCAGCACTTAAAAAGTTACACACATGTATATACCTAATCCTGAATGTTATGTTAATCCCGTGACTACTTGGAGTGCGGAGACAAGAGATTACCGTAAAAGTGGGGTTGTGATAGTCATCCTTATGCAGTGAATGGCGAGTCCTAAAGAGGGGATGGTGGGGGAAATCATATCGCCCATCACACAAATCAAGTCCACCAACGAACGCAATGATTTTTCTTTTGTTATTTCCAGCATCAGCATCCACGACAACAGTTTTCTGATGATGTGTGTATATGGTTCCAACTTCCTGATAATAAGTAGAAGAATTTGAATGTGGATATGAGAAACCAAATTGTGAAGGTAAATTATAATACTGTATTGAGAGAGAAGAAAAGAAAAGCATACAGTTATAAGCTATTAAAAATGAAACTTTCCAAGAATCCGGACGAACATGAAATTGAAATCTCACTTCATGCGGCTGAATTACATTAAATTTATGAACTTATACCAAAGTTCTTTTGTCAACTGTTTGAATTAGAAGGCAATGACAATATAATGAATAGGGTTCCTAAGAAGTAGGATGAAACACCAGACGTCGCAAGAAGTCACCCAACATAAAGGCAGTCAGAGATTGATGCCAATTTAAATGGTAGCAAGTCGTTTTCCTTATGAAATACCTTTTGCTTGTACCAGCTATGTCGTTTTCCTGCGATCCGGGGACAAAGAAGCACTTTTACAGAAGAATGTTTGAAAAATCTACGGGTTTCCTCATCATGAGTTGCCATTAAACCATCCTAATGAATGTTAGAAAGAAGATCCTTAAATAACTAAAACTGAAAGAAACAAAATAACAGTTTCGCTAGGTCACACGTGTTGTTTATTTTACATAACATGACTCACTGTTTTGTAACCCAAAATTTTCCTTGACGTCGGGTCATCCCAGATAAGGAGAAGCACTCTTACTCCTTCCTGTGACTTTGACCTCAGAAGATCACCGAGGGTGTAATCAAATTGATAAACAGCATCCCTTACCAACCTAACTTTATGCCACAGCGACCACCCTGTAATATAAATCAAACGCCGGGCTTGCTGTATGGCGTTAAACATATCAGCCCAACACTTTCCATTAACATGATATTTCCCTCGGTCAAGCATCACGAGAGGTAGTAAACCGTCTGGAACATGGGCATCCTGGTACAGATTGACAGATCCACCTTTCCTGAGAGGAAAATATGTGCCAGGAACGCCAGTGCAGTCAGGCATTGAATCGATTCCTTGATAATGATGGCTTAGCTTCTCAATTGGAATGTACTGAATGGATAGGGTCAAGGTAGCACCCTGCTTATAAGGCCTCCCGTAAGAATTCAGGACAGGGTAAGTACCTTCTACTTTTGCACCTGAGTAGATTTGTTCAACCGGAATCGCCACATTGCCTATAATTTGTGAACCCACAACATCATTGTCTTTCACCAGAAAGTTCACTTCAGCAGCATAATGAGCAACGGGAACATTAAAATGTTGCATCCAATTAGGATTTTCACAGTTGTTAATTACAAAAGTCCTTCCAATTATGGCATTTGATACTGATATTATCACATAAGGATTACTAGTAATCTTTCCTTCCACGTTCCCAGGGAATTTACACAACATCCCCGTAAACGTCTTGTGGAAGTAATCTATATTCGGAAGATTTCTCGCTTCATGAACCCACATGTCTAAATTCCCATGCAGGAGCAATGTTTTCAAGGGCCCTTTAGTCGAGGCAGGAACAATATCCAGATTCTGAGTCCGCATGCTTTCATTTAACGACCCCGGATGATCTTGAAATCCCGAAGAACGAGAATCTAACTGATTATAGTGGGTGGATCCCCACCCCGAGAATGAGTTCCGACGATGGCCGGGAAATTCCCCTTCAAGGCTCGAAATCGAAACAGAGTTCGAATGCCTGAACGGCAGCTGGACTGAGGATTTAGTTGGAGAAGATTGCCCGACATTGGGAAATGGAGCACTGCTCACAGTACCATCAAAAGATAGGGGGTAAACTGACATGCCAGGGGTGTGGGAAGAATCATTGGTTTGCCACGACGACGCTCCACCTCCTGGCGAGCTCTCGCACGACGACTCATATGGACCAGCGTAGGAACGGGCTCGTGAATGACTTTTGATCTTTTCGTCAGGAGGTGGATGTGCCTCAACCACAGGAAAATAACGGTAACTAGGTGGAACGAACTGAAAATTACAAGGGGACAAAATGGAAGTTTGAGGAGAAGTAACATTTTGGGGAGGTTGAGGAACTTGATAATGAGGGTAAGGGTAAGGATGAGGAAAGTAATAGCCAACAGGAGGCGGTCGTATATGCTCTGCAGAACCAGAAGGAGGGGATGATGGTTGTGGTGAAGTGGGAGCGCCGGGAGGACGAGCAGGATGATGATAGTAGGCACAGCTGAAGGGTTGTGAAGGATATGCGTAGCGAGGAGGAAGTGAATATGGTTCTAAACCTGAACGTGGGCGATATAAAGGGTACCCATAGTGGCCGGGGTACCGGTATGGAGCTGAAGAGCCATGGTTATCCATACAGAAGAATATATCGTCCTTTATGATTCCGAATCGTTCAATCCTGGGATATTAAAACGCTGCAGAAGATGTCGAGATTCCATTCTTGCATGTTAAAATGTTGTAGAAAATGTTGAGATGAACTCAGTTCAGGGAGAATCGCGACGATCAAGTTTGCATTAAATTCAAAGAGTGAAACAGAGGAACATGTTTCTTTCACGTGCTTGAAGGATCAAGGTTGTGTTTTGATGATGGAAAAATAATGGAGTATGGACATCTCTGAAAGATGGGCACGATTTTCTGAAAGGTTGTTGAAGGAAGACAATTGAAGAGAAATTCGCCATGAAGATTCCAAGATGAAGAGAAGAGGCGGAGAGAAGTACGTGACGTGAGGTCCGGCGCTCGCGGGTAATTTAGGTATCCAACAGAAAAAAGAAATAAATTTCAGATAATTTTATTTTCGATTAATTTATGTTGCTTTTCAATTTATAGGAAATATTTGAAAAAGGAAAAAGGTAATCAATCCCATGCAAACAATCTTTTGCTTCTGTTTATACGAAATATTTTGCAACCAAATGAAATGTAAGAGGATTTTGCAATTTAACATTTAAAATTTAATAAACGGTATGGTTTGATGATTCTATGTCATGGCCCCAAGCCCTGTGGGAAGGTGCATTGTCTTAAATACTGTTTTTGTACAATTTTAAAATTATATTTTTAAAACTCCTTAATATTGTAAAATGGCTAATTGAAGTTATAGGATCATCTTTTTATAATTATTAACCGAAATTCAAGTATTTGTGGATCAATGTTGTTTGTTGTAAGTAGTGATTTTTTAAATAAATTCTCATGTTATAATTAATATATAAATCAATTGTACAATTTTATGAGAACTTCTTATTAAATTAATGAATGAACACCCCATTGGTGTTGTATTTATCTAAAAAATAATATTAAAGTACTGAATATATTAAAAAAAATAAAATTGAGATATTGGATGCATCATTAAAAAAAATAATGTTGGATGTAGATTTACTCTTTATTAAAAAAATATATTATTTTATTTTATTTAAATAAGAAAGTAGGCTTACCTGAGTTTTGTTGACCAATTAAGAAAAATTTAACTTTTATCATTAATATATCATATGTAAATTAGAGACCCATAATTTTATTTTTCTAATAATAATGATCCTACTATGATACCAACATTTTGACAATGTCAAAATAATTCAATTCAATAATTAATTCATGCTATCGCTCGTCTAGAAATAATTGGGACAAGAAAATTACAGAGAAAGTGAGGAAGGGCATGAATTTTTCGGCCGAGGTAGTATCTTGAATCGCTGCATTGCTGTGGTGTTCGGGAAGGTAGCTTCGCCAGTCAACTAGTCTTTCCCTTTCCCTTTTCCTACGGCTGTGATAGAAATCTGAATGTGTCATGTGCTGTTTCTGATTGTCGTTATGGTGAATATGCTCTTGAGTCCTGGTTTTGTTACCCCTGTTCGGTTTCGATGGAATTTTCGGGTTATTTCTGTTCGGTTTTTGTTCATGTGATGGCCCCATATATTTACCAAGATCTTTTCTCAAAAAGTTTTGCAGTGATCGGTGGATTCAAATTCGAATTTGGAAATCGATTTGTCGGCTATAATTGACTGGAAATGGTGATAAATCCATATCATTTAACAAGATATTTTGTTAGATTCCAAGATTTCGGCTTTTTATATGTTTTTTTGGTACTTCGAATTTCCAGATCCGATTCATACTCTTGCAGAACAGACAGGGGAAGACCCGTCTGGCTAAATACTATGTTCCTCTCGAGGACTCAGAGAAGCACAAGGTTGAATACGAGGTGGGATCATGTTTTGGTTTTCCTAACAGATTAAAATTGTTGTTTGGCAGACTTTTGCTTTTGGGTCTCCCTCGGGGCTTATTGTAGTGGTTTATACATTGTCATTTTGCAGGTTCATCGATTGGTAGTAAACCGTGACCCCAAATTTACGAATTTCGTTGAGGTGAAAGCTTTTATCCAGTGATCTTGCATCTACTGTTTTGAACTACACGTTCAGAAGTTAGTATGAGAGGAAAAATCAGATTATGTTTATTCTCCATACATGTTCTGTGTTATGTCTCTGGTCTGATGAACTCATGGGGATGAGAATTATTTTCTCGCCCAAAGCATATATTATTCTTTTTTCTTTCTCTCCCCCCCCCCCCCAGCTTTCCACACATAGCATATCAGTGGGATATTATGTGGGAAAATGGACTGAAATTTGGTGAGGAATGCAATTGTACTGAAGTGAGGTTTTGTAGGGTTTTTTACATCTTTATCGACAGGGAAACACCCCTCCTTTCTGACTTTAACTGTCTACCTGACTAATTTGTTTGAGACTATTTCTAACTCTTGGTATATGCTGATAACGTTTCTTTCAGTTTCGTACACACAAGATAATCTACAGGCGATATGCTGGACTCTTTTTCTCTCTGTGTGTTGACATTACTGACAACGAGCTGGCATACTTAGAGTGCATTCATTTATTTGTGGAAATACTGGATCATTTTTTCAGCAATGTTTGTGAGCTGGATTTGGTATTTAACTTCCACAAGGTTTGTCTATTTACGATATTTTTTCTAATACAATTGTTGTATTATACACCTAAACTTGCATGAAGGCGATCTATGTTGGTCTTGATATTTGTTCTTTGCCTCGTTCTACCACACCGCCATATGTATAACTGTTTTTGGACACTAAGCAGGAAGGAAAGTTATGCCTATGTTGATGCAAATCTTTTATGACTAAAACAATGGCGTTTGATTGTGGATGTAGATATCTGTCAATCTGTTAAGTCTGTTTACCATAGCTTTATCAATCTTGGATATGGATCTGGATTGTTCAGCATTTCCTTTTGAACTTGTGGGAACATAACAGAATATTGGCTAAACATGTTGCCTGAAATGATCAATTTGTTGTATAATTTGCTCTTTCATGACATCCTGCTGGTATTTTTTAATTTCAATTCTCAATGTGACGAATTTGTTAGTTTTGTCTCCTAACTTTCTTTAATAGCACCCTCCATCACAGTCTACTTAAACAGCCATCGGTGCATGCATTTTGATGCCAATTCTCTTAGATGTTGAACTATTATTACTTGTAACTTTTGATTGGATCCGCAATATCATTTTTTATTATGTTCTCACATAGTTGCTTATTTATCTTGAAGGTCTATCTTATACTGGACGAATTCATTCTAGCGGGTGAACTGCAAGAAACGAGCAAGAGGGTACGCATTCTTTTGGAGTTACTTTTATGATATCGCCTTCAAATTTGATTGCATACACTCCGCTATTTTATCTGTCGTATAATTTTTCCTCTTTTCACATGCTATTGGCTGTCAAATGATTTAAAACCTTTATTTTGATGCAATTACAATCCTCTATCTCGGTTAAAATTATCCCTGTTTTTGTGCTTGCAGGCAATCATAGAGAGAATGGGGGAACTGGAAAAACTTGAGTGAGAGACAACTGTTGTAGAATGTTATATGAAGATTGAAGATTCTTCACATTTGCTTCTTCCATCTTTTGATTGCAACTTGAGAATTTTGTGACCTTTTTTTTGACTCCTGTTTATATAATGAATTTCACGAGCTTTAAGTGGGTCGTTTATGTCTTTATTTCTTATAGGCTTGTTTATGGATTATCATTTATGTGCTTGTTTATTGTGTGTTCGTGCCTGTGTTCTTCGGCAACGATTACAGCCTGTTTCCCAGGGTTAGTATCGGTGTAGGAGGACAGAGAATTAGTGGGATTTTTTTTCTTTTGGTATGGATTGAATACTTTATAATAGGATCCGCTAGTCATCAAGTGTCACAAAAGTAATTAGGGGGCTCGGTGTCGTGGTTGCATTTCACGTCTTGTATGAGATTTCTGTAATTGGGAATCACAAGCTCGCGAACTCTCCTATGCCTCTTTTTGGAGTCTCATCTGTTGAGCGGATTACATTCAGATTAAGGAAATGACGGTAGCATTTAAAAATTAAAATTACTGGCTTGGATAGCACGGAAGACCTACAGGGAAACAATATTTAAAATAGATGAATTAGACTCGCTTTTGTTAAATGATTCACTTTTTTTTTGGGGGGGGGGGGATTCACTACACTTAATCATGTACTTTTTTGAGATGCAAGAGATGGTGAGATTAAATCTCACTTCAACCAATTTTGTCACAAAATATCCCTACCGTTGGTGAGGTTGGGCCCGGCCTGCCATCGGCAAAGGGGCGGAAGTTACATCTTTTTACAAAGTGAGGGATAATATGATGAAAAAAACATTTTAACCTTCACGTCATTGCAAATGGACTGATTTGGAATTATTGAAATTGAGTTCGAAAATCTGTTATTCCGATATTTTTATTTTTCTGAAATTTTTACAAATAAATAAAATAAAAATAATTAATGAAATCTCAATCGGTCATTACAAAAATCTACAGACATTTTTAGAATCTGAACTTCCACAGCAGCACTAAGAAAAAGAAATAAAAACACATATTTAAGACTCGTACCATTTTATTTCAAACTACACTTAGTAAAGAATCACAGTCCTTAAATTTAATTAATTAATTTGAGTAAATCAAAAATATCAGTCAAAATTAATTAATATAATATTTTTTTCCTAAAATGTTTTAAGTATTTTTTTTAATTCCCTTCCTCTTTTCTTCTCCTACTTGATTATTATTGAAAAATATTAGTAGAGTTAATTTGACAAAAAATTGGTAAACATATAAAATAGAGACCAATATCAACCCTCTACTTCGGTCTTACGTTAAGAACTGAAAGAGCATACCATTTAGAAGCTTATAAGGAGAACAAAGAGTTTACTGATAGCAATAATCCGCTATAAACTGAAATTAAAATACTTAATAAAAATTAAAAACATTTTGCAGAAACTGAAATATGAAAACTGCATGACAAGGTCCCCCTCAAGATGCTTGTTCATTTATCCTGTGTTTTTTTTGAGGGACCAAAAGCTTTATCAGGTCTTAAAGACATGGTCCAGTTACAGATGCTGAATGAGTTGATGTTTCAGAGATAGAGCGAACTATAATATTTTGCGCAAAAGAATCACAACATAACTCGTCGTGTTGATGCTCCGAACTACGAGTGTAATTCTATCTACAACATCGTAGTGGATAGCAACAAAAGCTCCCCAGAGACATCCATAGAGAGAAGAAAAATGCTCACACCTGATTCACAACTTCCACATCTGGGATCATTGCGCCAGGAAAAGGAGCAGCTGAAATTTCCAGTTTCTTGATGTTCAAATAGGAGATTGATACATCTCCTCCGTGTAAATTTGAGACAAGAAGTCTGGAATAGACATCTAAATCTTGAAGGATCGGGAGACCTTATTTTCTTGTTATAATTTCATGATCCTGACGTGTAAGTGTACCGTGTTTGAGCTCCAATCACAAGTTCAATGACCTTTGCTGCGAGCATATAAAGAAACAAAAGATGTTTGAAGTAGTATTAGGAGTTTGATAGTGATAAGATACCTTGAAGCAGAAACAGGGGAATCAAGTATAAAAATGAAAACTCATCAAGCATACCTGTAAGAAATCCTATCATGGGTATTGGTTCCAAGGTTTTCTCAGTGCTTTCCAGTTTTAGCCTGAGATATTAGGAAGACATTTTATTGTCACTTTGTCCTACTGTTCAGAGTATGCACATTGATTTTTTTTTTCCTTTGCAAAAAAAAAAAAAAAAAAAACTGAAGATAAGAAAAAAGAGTGTGAAATCAATTCTACCTGGTATACTTGCTGAAGAATGGATCTCTCATCAAGTAAAGAGCAAATAACAGCTTCCGTCTTCTAGCCTGAAGTAAAACTATTTCAGCATCAACCATTATTTATTCGGGAACCAATATTACAGGCACATAAGACCCTTCTAATGACACTCATGCAAAGAAGTGAAGACTAATAAGCCAAATGCACCGTACATGTCAACACGGCATGGCTCTAAAGAAACTCTAACCTCATCCTTCTCTGGGGCCGAAAGATGAAAGACATGCTCCTTCCCTCCAACCACAGAAGTAGTAACTAGGGAAAGGATGCCTGTCCCAATGCAGTCAATAGCTAATGACACGAACCAAGGGGTCCATGACCGAATGCCGTACTTCCGAATGCATAGAACATAAACAAGTGGTCTCGTGATAAACAGAACTTCTCCGATTAGAAACATAACCCCACGAAGACCCTTCTTGGACATTACAGCTAAAAGTGTAGGTTTCTCGACATCTGAACATGTGAGAGAAACAGTGTCAAGTATTAGCTGATTCAATGGTGAACAATAATCAATTATAGTACTGTTAAAGGTAACTAAGACAGATTACCAGGAGGCTTCATAATTTCATGCTGGTGTTTAACCCGTCGCAACCATGTTGGATCCGACAACACCCTAGCATTTTCTCCAAATCTACTTAAAGCAGAGAGTGCTTTCCCTTCAAGATTCCATGGGTTTTGAACAAGATTATTATTCATGTAACCAGACCCAAGATGCCCTCTAAGTTGTGGCAAATGGTCTATTTGGCGTTGAGAATTCAAATTATCTGAATTCTTCTCATCATTAGGCATCTCCCCTCCCTGTAGCAGCATCTTATATCCACTCTTCCGAAACAAAGATAACCGGACCAGCACTCTGCGTTAGGTTGATGCAAGGCAAGAGACATGGATCAATGATTATATAGCCATGCCAGCCTATGGATAATATGAAATTACATATACGATAATACACTACGTGCTTACTTGGTTGCTTCTGTAACAGCAAGGAAATTCCATTTCTTATCATCGCCATAGTACTCTTGCGCCACAACTTCAACTAGTGTTTCCAAATCCTTTATCGCAGATAAACATAAAGGATAAGGAAATGGATTTGGCTCAATTGAGCCTGTAATAGTTTGGGTAGCTTCTGTATCAATTATATGTTCATTTATAGTTGTGATAATTCCCAAAATGGTTGTTACTGCATAAAATTAAAGATTCCTCCATAAGTTACCAATGCATATGTTGCAACTAAATATAAAAGGAACATAGTAGGAGACAAAAATTTTAAATACGTATATGAAAAGAAAAGACAATCAGAAATTTTCGAATTCAAAGGGAACAAAAGCCACCACACAAAATTAATGTGATTCCAAGAATTTTCATGTTTAGAATCTGTAAGACCTAAATTATTGGCAAGGTAAACTATCGATATTGTTTTATTTTATTTTATTTTTTAATTTCTCATGGTCAAAATCCACATTACATGAATATACATTAGGAGATAGAAGCTTCTACTTTTTCTCAGGCCTGCCAAAACTTATTTGTTTCAAATTTGTCATCACAAGAACATATCCGTCCTTGGAGCCAGAGAGGAAGGGAGGGAAAGAGAAGAGAGACAGAGGGATGCAGAGAAAGAGATACCAGAGAGGGAGATAGGAGAATCAGGGAGTCACATTCCCATTAACCAAAAGTCTGTTACTATTAGACCTTAATCCGTCTATTTATAGTCATTAGCTGCTCACGATCATCATTACTAAAACTAATTACCCCAACTCTAACCCTTAACTAACATTTCTTTTACAATACCATATCAGAATCATATATAATCGTAAACTCAAAAGTAGCCAAATGTTACCAAAATTTCACAAAACCTGCTTCTGGTCCAATCTCTGACTCAGAGAACCGTTCTGGAAAAAGCCATGTCATCCCCTGACCACAATTCAAACAGCAAGAAGATAATTATTGGTATGAGATGTCAATAAAGGGCCAAAAACACAGTATCCTTGTTTGAATTATACCCCCGCAGCTAAGACCAAATACTACTCAAACATGTGAATACCCAACAGCCAGCAGGTCTTGTGTATTTAGAAAGCGAATTGACTCGAAACAAAGATTTTCTTCCACTGACAAGAGCATCAAAACGGAGTGCAACTTAAAGTGGAATTACAACTATAAAATCCCTTCCTCTCCCGGTCTCCGTTCCCTAATCCAAAAATCCAAAAAATAAATAATGAAAAGGTGCCATAAACTATTTTATCATTCTGCAATCTAAAAACCACATATTAAAAGGCGCCATGAACTATTTTATCATTCTGTGTTCTAACAACCGCATATTATTAGTATCACACCCTTATCCTATCAATCCCATCCTTTTTGAGCCAAAATCATTGCACGATAGGCTCAGAAGGTTATGTATCAACACAAGAATTTGCAAAAGGGCCTGATGTTAAGACAAAAATGTCGAACCAAATGACAGCTTACACTGGCCATAGAACCCAAAGAGTGCACAAACTCTTTGTTTTGCCTGACCCATCTTTTATAAGCCTCCATAGCTTCAGTGATTTGCCTCCTTGAGCACCTAGTCCTACAAAAACCCTAACTTCATATCCAATATTTGGGCTGTGCCTATTGGACACGACCCTAGATGACAGGAACGCGAAAGTTGGAGACAAATTGCGTAATTTCAATTATGATAGTGAAAAGCAAGAGCGGTGGAGTGATGCGGCGTGGCTGCTGTCGTTTCGTGAATGACGGATCGGATCCTGATCGTAGGCTTCCCAACCTTATACGAGCGAGGTAGCTGGACCAGTTTAACTGTTTAAGCAGAGGTGTCTGGGACATCTGGGGCGAATTTACACGGTGTTCATTGTCGGGGCGAGTTGGATTGGATCCTGCTGATCTTTTGGTCATGAACCCGGATGACCCTGAAAAACCGGGTTAGAAAGACCGGCCCGAAAGTCGGCCGGTAAACTAATAAAGAGGCGATTGAAGAAGCCCTGTCAGGTATGTGGGTCACATGCTGATGCAACGGATGGGTCTGACCCATATCGCAAAGCGGGCAGATAAGGACTCGGTACCAGCGACTCTGTCGCGTTTTAACTCCTTAAATTTTACCCCTCTTTGGTCCTTTGACAGGCTTGACTAGCCTCCACTCTTCCCGAGAGCCCCGTGCAAGCTCCAAACAGACGTCTTCAAGATCGGCGTCGAGGACGAAGACAATTCAAGATGTAAGCACCCATCGTTTCCTTTCGGCTATTTGATGGGGTTGTTTTATCTGATGTCAATCCCCGCTTCCAGTTTCTCTCTATGCTTCTAAAGTAGTGACGTTTATATTTGCTATTAATTCTGGTTCAAATTGGCTTTTAGTTCATCTAGTGCAAACTAGATTAAGGAAGGATGCTGAGGTTATTAAAGTTAAACTTTTCTCTTTGAAGACAAAGAATTGGGTACTTTCTCAGATTATGTATTTTTAGAAAAGAATCAGTATATCCCGTGACCTCGGGGACGTTAATACTTTAATTTTTTTTTTAAAAAAAGGTGGGTCTATATTCGGGTTTCGTTTGTTGAAAGAATGGATGCCGATGTTGCGTAGGAATACAATTTGAAGCTTATTTTTTTCCCAGCCTCTCTCCTCGCTAGATCGTTGCACTCAAGTGTTTTGGAATTCTGAGAAAGCAATATAATGCAACTCACGCTAGAATTCGGGTATGTTTGTGTTATCTATCTAAATTCTCTATCTGTTTCTTTCTTCGTCTTGTTTTCTCTCTCACTTTAGTTTATTCTTCATTGCCAAGAAAAAAAATGGTAAATTATCTGTTTGGTTGATTTCTTATTATGTAGAATCTAAAGCCCACGCGAACCTGCATGTTCCCTTTATATTTTCTTCTCTTGCCGTGTTTGAAGGCAATTTTGGAAGGGAATTATGAGGAGTTTGCTGTAGTTAAACTACAATTAGAAGTTCATCCTGAAGTTTTTCTGAGCACGCAAGAAAATACCCATGTATAACCCAACCACTGATACGCCCAATTTCGCGCTATAAGTCTGCCGTTTTTGAATTGTCTTTTGGAATTTGGACAATTCTCGTCCTCTTTGACTCGAACACCAGTGTTATCTTCTGGAATCATAAATAATTTGTGGGTTGGTTGGCGTGTTGTTGGGAACTTAATTATAATTGGCATGTCCCTTCAAGGTTTGTTTCCCCACCTTGGGAAGTGGGATAGGAAGGACAAATTGCTGCCAGGATTGAGTTACATTGACATTTTTGTAGGATATTGAGTCCATGGAGCAGAAAATAAGCAGGATACTGAAAGAAAATTTGTAAATATGCTATTCTAGTTTATCTTAGTATTTGGAAATTTCTAATGGAAATCCCTGAAGTGGGCTTCTACTAGGCATCTTTACTAGTCCCTAATTATTGCTGAAGTTATTCGCAATTGTGTTGTCTTCTGTTTTCTTATCTTACACTTGCAGCTTCTGATTAGAACCCTATGATTTTGATCTGATTTAAATGCTTGTTAAACTGGCTGCAAATGTTCGTGGTTCAATACAGTGGGGGATTGGAGCTTCTTTGTGAGTCCCAGAAGATTCATAATGTCAGTGTTGAGCCACAAAATGGATCAGATAAGGTAGTCTATGACATAGTAGTTGATTGAATTGAACTTTGTTTTTGTTATCCCTAACAATGTTACAATATCTTCATCTTGCTTCTCAGTTAATCATGAAAGATTTACTTTCTTGGGTGCGGACAAACTTGATCAAGGAGAGGCCTGAAATGTTCATGAAGGGGGACACTGTGTAAGTTGTGTTGTTGATCTTTTCGACTTAAGCTTGAGTATGAGGGGCAAATACTGCCTCTTGGATTTTGTAATAACTATTATAAGTCAGGATTTTACGACTAAAAGAAAATTACTGTGTAGCATGATGGAGAACCGGGGAAGGGACATGGGTTTGAGGCTTAAGCTGAAAGTAGAGTGCAGGAAGAGCCATGTAATCATAGTGTGGACTAATAGTTTGGTTTCTCATGGTTTGTGCTGCAGGAGACCCGGAGTTCTAGTACTTGTGAATGATTGTGATTGGGAGCTGAGTGGCCAACTGAACACATCATTAGAAGATAAGGATGTAGTGGTTTTTATTTCAACCTTGCATGGTGGTTAGTTTGTAGTTGAAACAAATTTGACTGATAGATTGATAATGAGTGCTCTATAATACAAGAGATGTTGTGGGATTCACTATTACATTGAAGACTCAATGTTGACAATGTGCACTATGACTAGTGCTGTGAAATGAAATCATGTACTCTTCCGCTGCTTAATACACTCGTAAAACATAAATAACTAATTTGAGTAAATTAAAGATGTTACTTAAATCAGTTAATATGATATGTTTTCTCTAAAACATTTTAAGCATTTTTTTTAATTCCCTCTCTTTTTTTCTTACTTAATTATTATTACAGGAATATCAATAAGGTTAATTCGAAGAAAAAAATAATAAATATGTTAAATAGGTTTTACATATAGAATCAATATTAACTCCCTAATTAGGTCCTATATTAAGGACAGGAGGGTGTTGGGTGTACAAGATTACAAGGCATGGATTTGGGTTAGTTTATTGATGAGATTGGTCAAATATATGAATTTATATGAAAGTTTACTTTTGAATAAAAAATTTGGGGAGGCATTTTGTAGTTTGTTAGAAAATTAAAAGGCGCTTATCTGACTCGTATTAATCTAATTTGGTACAGCATATTTCAACGTGAAAGTTCATTGTAAAAAATCTGTGTTTTAATAGAGATTTTTTCGCTTCCAATTCTACTTATGAGACCTTACCTATTCTTTAATATGAAGTCCTTTACAGAATTTAATAAAACACTTACGGAAACTTTTTTAAAGTGCTGTTGTCTTTTCTGCTCTTGATTTAAACAATGGTTTTCTCATCTCCGCTCTTTCCTAATGGATAGTTTTGCTGTTCTGGTAAGTTGTAAATATTTTAGAGTTACTTAATTTTAATCAATTTTTTAATCTCATAAAGTAGTTAATATGACTTCATAAAAAAACACCGCATGGAGTTATTGGAGCATCGTGTTAATGTTAGAAATTATTACTTCCGGTTCTTAATATAAGAGTTAGTTGACTAATTTAAGTGGATTAAGAAAACTCGTTAGGTTAGTTATTTATAATAAATATGTGTTGTCTTTTCTAAAATATTCTTAATAATCAAATGTATTAGGTAAAACTACTATTATTATAAAAACTATTTTGAAAAAAAAAGAGAGAGATAAATATAAGTGATAAAGTATATTAGAACTTTATATTTAGGATTAAAATAAAAATCAAATAAGTACCGAAGGTAGCATAATACTTGCCCAAGCAAATACCAAGTCAGGAAAGACATTGTCTTGTGCAATGCCCATTACAATTCTCGCTCTGACCACGATCCTCTTTCGTTTGTTTTCTTTTGCCCAAATCCTCTCTCTCTATGCTCCCCCCAACCTACAATGTGGTCATTTCGGGCACACAAGCCACTTCTCTTCCTCTCCCAGACACTGCCATGAATAGTCGAAGACACAGGGAGTAGTCGAGTGTGGTTAAAGGAGGTGGTTAAATCAACAGAAGGAGAAGAGGCACCATTAGCAATGAAGTCGTTATTGTTTGCTCAGTTTCTGTCTTCTTTCTTGATTCTGGTTCTGAACCTCTCATAGCCATACTAGTATACTATTTACTGGTTTCTGCTTTCTGTCTTCCTTCTTGATTTATAAACATCATAATCCTCCTTCCCATTCTCCCTCTGATTCTGGTTCAAAACCTCCTATACCCATGCTAGTTTGCCTTTTCTCCATAGCTTTCCTCGTAATTATGAATACAAGAACGTTTAAAATAAGAGGGATACAAAATATAGAAGGAAAAGCGTAAGACATACATACTTGTTGTGGCTGTTTAGAGGGAAAAGCAATGGTTTTAATTGGTAGTTCTCCATTAGTTGTGTGACTTTTACTGCTAATCCGTAACTACTTCCACGGATCACGCATAACAAGAGTTTGAAGGGACGACATGTTATCACAATGGCATAAAATGATGCTACAAAAGAGGTCACTGGCTCAATCTGCAGTTCCTTGGTAAGATTATTTGTGTCATTTTCTTGCAATAAAATCATTCTATGCGTGCCTCTGTGTGATAGATATTCTGAAACTATGGCTGGAAAGTAAGTAAAAATCTATCCAAAAGCTCCAGAAATAGCCAAAAATATATTTCTAGCACCCCTCATGCACATGTTCATATTTATACCTGACCACTTCTCATTCATTACAGAGTCTTACTACCATATTTTGATCACGTCGAAGACATTGGAGTAACCTATAACTTTTATTCTTTGCATAGCCAACTCGCTAAGAAATTGATCACTGTAACTGTCAGAAGTTTCCTTCCTGGGTAAGGTTGGCTGGACATGCTATGAGCAAGAGAGAGAGAGGACTGAGCCCCAAAAATGCTCTTCACATTGGCGCACATGTTCACTGATCCATTTTGATAGAAGATTTTTTTCCCTTTGGAGGGCAAATGCCAACATCCTTTTCTTTTAAGTTTAGGAGAAATGATGGTATTTTTTCGATGAGGGCCAAGTCACAGAAGCTATTGTGAAAAGACAAAAATAATTATTTTGTTGAGAGTGGGATTTGAACCCACGCCCTTTCAGACCAGAACCTTAATCTGGCGCCTTAGACCAACTCGGCCATCTCAACCAGGTTGAAATTTGTTGGCACATAGTCTTATAATATCTTTTCTTTTGGGTTTTTAACAGTTCCATAGTCATGAATCTTCTGAAAAATAGTGTTGATTAAGTATCAAATGCGTTACCTTTCGATCAGATATGTTTTTAGGCATTGTGATTAGGGGCAATCTCGCGAGAATTTGAAAGCACGGGTCTTGAGAAAAATCCAAGCAAGAATTCTTGCAGGGAGAGAATTGATGGCGATGCGGGAGATCAAGCTCTCTGTTTTGGGGATATAAGGTTTAAACTTTAAATGGTACCCTATATCGCAGAATCTTCGACGTAGAGAAGGTTTGAGACTGGAGAAAGCAGGTGACACTGATATGTGTAGACGGCAGAGAAAAAATCCGAGATAGCGAAGAGCGAATCAGAGGGAGATTGTCGTGGTTTTTTGCCAACATCTTTTTTTTTTTTTTTTTTTAAATTTACAGAAAGGTATGTATATATTGATAAAAAAAATAACTTTACAAAGACTGAACAGGGAGTGTGGCGACAAACGAAGTCTGCCAACATCTAATGTTTATATACTATTATAAGAGTCAAGAACTAGTTTAATTTTTATTTTAGTCTTAAATATAATATTTTAATATACTTTATCTCTTTTATTTATCTATTTTTTTTAAAATAGTCTTTGTAGTAATAATTAATATACTTGATTAACAACGATAATTTAAAAAAGACAACATATATTTGTTACAAATAAATAACTTAACTATAAATAACTATTTTTTTCTGTTTATTCAAATTAGTCAACTAGATCTTATATTAAAGAGTAGAGGTAGTATTTGGCATCTTCAAGATACTTTTCTTTTTGAAAGATAAGTTTTACCACATGAAATTTTTTTGAATAATATAATTAAAAATTTATATGCAAAGCGTGTGGGTTTTACATCACATCTATATAATTGATAACTTCATAAAAAGCCATGTCAAACAAACTGCTAATCTTCTTGATGATAGCAAGCCTAAAATATTATTGAAACTTAGGAAATGGTAAGCTGTAATTTTAAACGAGACTGATAACTTCGAAAGAGCCAGTACTATATTATTCAAAAGTGCTTAAGAATTTTAATTGTCAGGCTATTACATTAAATCCGTGAATTTAGGCTCTCCGATGTCATATCCCGGGAAAACGGGTCACTATCATCACTATATACATTCAGCAGAAAGAAGGCAGCCAAAAACCCAAGGCATCTCGGAGAGGTTTTTCTCCCTTTTATTTTGTTTGTTCTCCGGAACAACATGGCATATTAGAGTTGGAAGAAGTAATTTTTCAATCAAGAGTTGTTATGGTTTGGACAAAAATAAAAAGTCACGGGTTTATGAAATTATCCAATAAAAGTATTACACACTACACATAGAAACCCATTTTAGAAAAGGAAGTATCAATTATGTATTGCTGAATAGTAGTTTCTTCTTCTTCTTCTCTCTCCCTCTCTCTCTCTCTCTCTTTAAAAAAGCATCCAAGTCCCATAACTCCATAACACAAAGGTTCTATCCTTCCTTACTTCAAGAAAGTGTCCTTACTTCAAGGAAGTGATTTTTTGGCTCACAGAACTCAACCGCAGTAATTAACAGCAGGATCACATTCAGGATAGCGTAATCTGACCCTACTCAATAAACCAGAAACTCTCATGTAGATTCAACTTATGGAAGATCAAAAGAACAGAAGAATCGTGAATATACTGAACATGCTACATTGTTCTTATTTATAAATTGACTTCGACTATCTAAGAATAAATCCTCGTTTAGCATATTAAGATGTATTCTACCACCTTGGAAAAAAAAAATCTGGAAATTACAAGGTAAGAATACTCCAAGAGACAAATTAGGCTAACCTCAATAATTTCCTTTTGGATTTACCTTTTTTTTTTTTGGGCGGGAAGCAAAATAGAAGATTAACCTTATCTTGGCAGCCCGAAGCAGGATAGATGCGTTATCTGATAATAAATTGGGGGGAAAAAAATTTGGACCAAAAATGGCAATATCGATAAAAGGACAATCAGCTTGTCTTGAGTCTCTCCAGTTCTGCTTCAGCCTCATTTAACTGCTTCCTTAATGTTGATATTCTGCGCTCTAACCGTTCTACTGGATCTCCACTTGATGCAGGTTGGTATGGGGTCAAAAAATGGGATGAAAATGCTTTCAAAGCTTCAACCCCAGTAACCTGTCATATTAGCAATGGCTAATAATTAAAGGCTGCCAAAAATAAGCAAATAATAGTGTAACTAATAAAGTTCAGATCCAAAAAGCCAAAATTTAAGAACCATCAACAAACTCTTTCAATTTAAGAATCCATAGGATAAAATCCAGAGGTGACAGGTTTTGGTAGGTCGCAAGAGATATTAGGTCGAAACCATTCAGCAAAATGAAAATAAAATATTTGGTCCAATTGGTGATTGAAGATATACTGATATCGCAGATATCCAAATTCATGAGGATGGTTAGAAGAAAGCAATCAAGCACAACGCACACCCAGCTGCCCACCTGCATAATAATTCTGGAGGAAGATGAAAGGTTTGGTGCAAGAAAATGCAAAATCACCGATATACAGAATTACAGATAGATGCCTTGCGCATCATTTGAAGATCCCAAATAATAATGTACAGCGTTATAGTAGAAAGGCATTATGTGATTTCATTATTGTTCAAGTTTCAGAACTCTTTCAGTTTTGTTAGAACCTACACAAAATTCTGCACATGTACACGGAGGTCCATATAGCATTTCAGAAGTTTGGGCAGGGTTTTTTTAAGGTTTCACTGGAGGGTCATATGTGATGTCACAATAGTGCGATGTAATAAAAGAAAATAAGGAAAACGTAGGGGCGGTCAGTTAAAGTAGTTGATTCAATATACCAGAGTAATTTGCTCAAATTATATTATTTTTAAGCTATATTTTACGATATCTTATGATATGATATATAATCTGTGGCTTCAAATGCAATAGCTTACCTCGTCCGGCAGCAATGGCAGCTTGGTAATGTTAAAGTCATCATACAACATGTAAAACTGGTCTAGGTACTTCTGTTGCATTTTCATTCTTGCTTTAAGTAACTTGGATTCAACATCTGCAAGTATTAAAGATGAAGAAATGATATTGATAAGGTGAGGCAGAGAAAAAGAAAATATAAAAGAAAATATATAGAACATGTCAAACATACTACCTTCGTCATCATAAAGCACTTGATTGATGATGATATTATGTGTGTCAATCTCGAATTTTGTTAGCTCCTGAACCAGTCTCTCTGTTTCATATAGAGAGAGGAACTCCGGAATGCAGACACAGACAAAAGTCGTCATGTCCTGCAAATGAAGGTACCCAAGAGTGATTAAAAGGAAATTGGCATAATTAAGCATGCTCAGGTAAGGAGTCAGGGGGAGCACGTGTTCAAAATCCTTGTCAATCAAATCATAGCAAGGGGTAAAAAGTTAGAAAAGGTCTTCTGGGATGACTAGATATAAAAATTATAATATCAAATTGTTTATACTGATTAAAACAAATCCTTCACAATTTTCAGTTAAATTTTATTGCCATCATACCAACAAATTTAAAAGATTTTCTAGCCCATCTTTATTTAACACGTGCTTATGTAGAAAGAACTACACCAAGAGTAAATATGTGAAGCACAAAGTCCGCATCATAACTAACTCTACCGATCCACCAAGCTATTCGAATAAAAGTGACACAAATCATGCATAAATAAAGATTGCCCATAAATATTCCTTGCGGATATTCTGTTCAGATTCGAAGCTTCTGGCTGACAACTGGAGATGTGCTACTAAAAATCAGTTTAACATATTTCAAAAATTTGGCTGCAACTGCCACCTAACAATTTTAAGAGTGAATTTATATTTCAAACAAATTCTTTTAATTCAGAAACCAAAAATTAAACAAATGATTAACCATGAGAGTAGTGTTTATGCAATCATTATATACTTACTTTTTTGAGCCTGCACGGTTATATAGTTCCCATTTGTATGTAGATATGCATCTAAACTATTGAGTGCTACCAGCCCATTTCAAGTGTGAGAAGATACTATGATATATACTAAAAGAACTGTATCAACACTCCAGTTGAAGCAAACAATTTATTCATCTTAATTACAGGGTTAAACTCAAGTACGAATCTGATTTCTACCTATCACTGCAACTTGCTTTCCCTTTCTTCTTTCTTCTTCTATGTTTTAGTAGTTCCTCTGTAATTTGAAACCATAACTAATGGATAATGGTTTATTTCCCTACATTTTGCTTCAAAGATGATTAAATAGCCATCCTTTACATTATGTGCGAAATTCAAGCTGGGTTTCCTGTTACAGCTTCAATTTCTTCATTTTCTTATGCTTTTTGTTGCCATGCTTACTTTAATATGGCCATTTCCGATGTAGTTAAGAACTTGTCCCGAACCAGCACAATCTAATCTTCTAGCATAATTGACATTCATTTCTTGGATTCTTTTCGTGCCTTTTCTTGTGATATCATCATAATCTACTCCTCTTGGATAGAATTTATTATTATTCAATTTTATTATTTTAAATAGTATTTTTATATTTTATATTAAATAGAAATATAGTAATTTAACTACAACTGATTTGACCACAGATTGACCCTAATTCGACCAATGAATCTTAAATTAATGCCTTAAAAATTCAATAAGCAGTCCAGTTTTGATGACCTTGATTTTATGATCTCTTAGAATGCATGTTATAATTCAGAGAAAGATGGAAATCAATTGACAGTTTCAAAACAAAACATAAAATAAATTAAGAAGATTTCTTAACTTACAGGATCCTTGAATTGCATGTTAACTCGTTCAATTACATCTTTCATGCCTTCAAGCTTCCCAAGTAATGCATCCTCGGCAAAATCATCACCCATGCCAAACATGCTTGACATCTGCAATGAGAAGAAAGTTTTTCCTATTATACCGAAGATAATGAAGCATGTAGCAAACACACACCACCTTATCAATTAAGTTTGAGAGCAAGGAAATAGATGAAGCAAAACCACAAGAATGCATAGGGAAGACTGTGTGTTTCAGTTTTCCCAAAGGAAGATTTAAAAAGAAGAGAGATGGACAGTAACACAAAATGTAATTCAGAAAACATCAAAGTATGCTACTTTAATGCAAATATCATGAAGACACTCATACATAGTTTCTGGGACGCCACAAAAGTGTTCTAGATTTCAGGTCTAAAATAGTGAAACAACCTTGAAAAGCAGAGTGCAGAACAAAGCATTTTCATAGTAGCTCAATACACAGCAGTAAACGACATAGGGATTATAAATTTTGAAAATTGCATTTTAATAAATAATAAAAGCACTGAACCTCTTTTACTTTCAAACTAAGAAAGAAAATATACCTGATTAAACAAACCACCAAATTTGTTTTTCAAAGACATCACTTTTGCAAGACCCTTCTCTAGAATTGATGGAAATTGCAGCAGTCTGAGTGTATGACCAGTTGGAGCAGTATCGAATACTATAACAGAATAATCCATCGTCTGCACCAATCTGTAGAAATTTGTCATCATTAAACCAAAAACCCAGTTAACAAATTTTAGATGAATCAAGTATCAAGAGTAAATTCTGCAGATCAGAGACTTGAAAGGAAAACAACTTCCAGATGGCCTCAAACCATTATAGAAATGACTAAAGCGCAAAACATGCATCCAAATTTAGATTTTGAAATTATTATACACAGATTTTGTTTGCATATATCTGAGCCATGCAGCACTTGTCCAGACCAATAAAACTAACTTTTTTTTTGGCCTAATAGGTCTGAGGACATGTTAAAAAGCTTGGTGACGTGTCACAGTAGTGTCCATGTCCAATGTGACTGAAAATATATGTTGGTGCATTATAGGTCACATACTAAACATGGTAATCTTATTTACAATTGTATCAATCTCCTAGATTTAATTTTCTTCAGAAATTCTTTCCAGATTTCCAAAGTTCCCAGATAATGTTGACCTTAAACACATCTAATTTTCTCTTCTCTTATCAGTTGGACATTTGGAGGACTCCTGTCCTCATAAACCCTGAAAGTTGAAATCAGTCTAGTCTGTAATGTTTTAACTGCTAGTTTGTTCAAGGTTAAAAGATAAAACTCATGTCAACATGTGGGAGAATGTTAGAGCCGACATTGGGTAGCTTTAGTTATTCTTTTTGATATTTAATTTGCATGGTTTCTTTCCCTTCAAAAGCCAATTTTAAAGGGTAGGTTCCTCATGCTTCCCTAGATCTCCATCAATTGGCATGAAACCTAGAACAACCTCCACAGAATACACTACGTGTGGATGGCGCAACCTAGTGGTCACCATAGGTCAAAGCCATCAAGGTCATTAGCTCTTCAACAGTGGTTTCAAGATAGAGTTACACATTGGACGGCATATAAGATTCTTGTGTCACTTAAGTGACATGTTTGTTCCCGGACTGCCATATATGATTCTTGTGATACTTGAGAAACATGTTTCTTTCCTCTTACAAGCCAAATTTGAAGGAGAAATTCCCATAACTGCTCAAGTCTCCGGCAAAAAATATTTGGGTGCAGCAAATTCCTTAAATCGTTTACTTTCCATTATCGCCTTTCTTCTTTCAAGAATTCTCATCCAAAATTTTGTTCCAAATTTAATATTCTTTTTTATCCATAAATGTAATCCAGCAGGCCATGAACAGTTATAAACATAACACTCCTTAAACTACTTCAGAACTTAGACAACAAAAATTCAGAAAAATTTCAAGTCACTGTTGAATCACAGAGACATTTTTTCCCTTACTTCAGCATCTCAGCAAAGCTCATTGCCTCATCAATTCCAGGTATAGCACCAGCTAGTTCTGAGAACATGCTATCCATTCCATCAGAACCACCGACATCCTCATGTTCAACGGTAGGATCCACCTCCTATTAAGCGTCATAACATAAAGTGAGAAAATATACCGGGCAAATTATGAACATTACAACAAAAACTGGACCTAGACTACAAACTACTATGAAATAGATACAACAACCTATCCTAGGAAATTTTAAATCATAATTCTTCAAGTAAACGACGGACATGAAGTCAATACATGTAGAAGGCTTCGGAATAATTCTAAGAAAACCGTTGCACTCATGTAGGCCACTATCAATTGCTCAAAAAGTGTCCAGACGATACAGAAAACAACTGAAAAAAAAAATTCTAAAACTATGCATAATTGGTTTTTGTCGCTGTTCACCATAAAGCATAACACTCGAGAACATGATAATGCTCAGATTCATCATAAATACATAATTACAAATCTACAACACAAGCCTCTTTAAAGGGAGAAAAGGACAAGGACAACAAATGAGACTAAAATAAAAATTCAGGACACGAGATTTCACCATAGCATAAAGATTTGTAAAGCCATTAACCAAAGTGGGGATCTTCGTGAAGCGTTGCTGAAAAGCATCACTGAGGTTGTGAGCGGGGTCGGTGGAGATGATCAGAACAGAGCTTCGAACCCTGGAGAGAAGGATCGAAAGAATGGAGCTACAGGTGGTCTTGCCCACACCGCCTTTCCCTCCAACAAAGACCCACTTCAGAGTCTCTTGATCCAATAAGTTCTGCATCGTTCCCTCAGGCAAGTCCTGTTGATCCGCCATGGCCACAGTCCCTTTCTCTCTCCTCTGCTCTGATTGTCAATCGACCCGGTGACTCGCGAGTCCAGAATGACGGAGAGAACCAGAAGACCGTTTTTCTTACGATATCTGGAAATAAATAAATAAACCGAGTGAAAACCAAAAAAACTACTTGAAATGTTACTGTTGGTAAAATTTTGGTACGTCCCATTGAGGGAAAAAAAATCAAGGGACTTTGTTTTTGTTAATCCTTTAACTTTGGATCCAGTACTACCCGGAGCCAATAAACCATATTAGCAATAATTTGTAAATTTGTATTATATTGTGCGGATATCAAAATTAATATGGATTGATATGCGAGTATTACTAATGCTAATGTCATAGGTAATTTTTCCCCGACTATTTTGGTAGAGTATATGTTTACTTTTATGTTAAAAAAAGGGTAATTTTAGCAGAAGAAGCATATAATGACTTGCTTTAATTTTAAAATCATGAATTCAGTAGTTGCTAAACATACTTTTAGTAAATTGAGAGTATTATTTAGTACTCTTCTAATTTTAAATGTAAGACTTACTTTATAATATAATTACATTTAGGATTCAAAGAGCATTTACTCAAAGCTTTTTGATGAACAGGGACACGCAAGGTGGACAGTCCGATTTCTATGTGCTTAAGTGGAGTATCATGGAAGGCTGACAAAGGAGAGGAAATGTTAATTTCCAAATATACGTTCTGATATGAATTGCGTTCGACCTCATGCTGATGAGTCTCAATGGCCTCGTGTGATGGATTGACTCTGCAGGACTAATATCTAGTGGGGGTTTTAGAAATGTGCTGATTGCTAATGATTTAGCGAAGGCGATTCATAATTATACATAATTACTTTTTATGGTTTGTAGGAATGTGAATTAATTTAAAGATGACAACATCTTCATGGATTACAGAAAAGAGGGTTGGTTCCATAAGATCAAGTAAGAATATAAATTTGTGTGTGGAACTTTGAGACTTGATTGATAAAATTGAACTTGAAAGACCAAAAGTTTTATTATCGGCCAACATTAAACTTCAGGTTGCCAAACCACCTAATATTTCATGCCTCTACTGCTGAAACTGGCTAATGCAGATCCTTTCTCACTACTGATTAAAGACAAGTTCACATTACGAGTATATACAGGCCATATTGCCGGGAGGAAACTAAAGAAAAAGCTAAAGACTAACTAGTAGAGTGAGTTGTAGGCGCAGGAGGTTGCAACAATGGACGAGATGCAGATGAGAAGAGCCGGAAGTAAGGTGGCGTTCAAGAGATTGCTCTCACCCAAATACCCCGACATTGTTATCGTTGCATCTGCAACTACCCGGGCTAGAGTTCCGGCTTCGGTTGACAGCAATCCTCCGTTGAATGTCCCCCTCGAAAGCCTCGACGACATCATCCTTGATAGAAGTGAGAGGTTCACTCCTGAATTTGATCATGTTAAAAATATGCAATTCATGTTCAGGGCACAGATTTCACCTTCAGAAGTAGGCACAATATGTTATACTGCTTACATGTCACACCAACTTGTTAGCTAACGGCATATGATATGACCTTTTGGACAGTTACATCCAAGAGCTGACTCATGGAGATCACAAAATTCATATAAATCTCATAATGGAATCCCAGTCGCAGACTATGGGTGTTGAAATCGGATCCTTTACATTTTACAATTCTTGCATTTGGAAAGACAATGACGAAAAAAATTATGTGGGATGCATATCTCATCGTTGCACTCTTCATTATACGACCAAAACCAATTCAACTGTGACCAAGCATGCTATCAGTTCATGCCTACAATAATATTTGGATTTGGAGATAGATAAATAAAATCAGTCACCACATAGTCCAAGCCGGAGCAATCAGAGTCCGGTAAAGCAAACTTGCAGTCAACTTGTGCCTTTAGTACTTTTTAAACTACGAACTTTTTGGTCACATAGAACGAAAGAAAAATACCTTCAAGAACTTCAGCAGATACAAACGTGATAAGGGCTGAGCCGACATATTGCAGCACTGAGTAAGGGATGAAAAAATGGAAGCTTAGGACTAGTCCAAAGCAAACCATAATTTCTGATGCCAATAGAACTTGCCTGCAAGTAAAAGCCAACCGGAAAAGGAAAAATTAAAGATGGAAGAAACAAGAAAAAGGAGGGAAGATTAATCAGATTGAGATAGTAGACTTCTCAGGTATATTGTTCCAGAACAGAATACTTCGTAATACTTGAAGGATCACCTTTCTTCAAATATATTGCTGATATAGCTTCCAACAACTATGTTTACAGGAAGTACAGTAAGGCCGAGGCATGCAAGGAAAATGGCAACCTTGCTGGTTGACCAAAAAAAGTAGTAACTGGTGATAACGCTCGATTCAGCTAGTACAATCTCCATTGCATATTTGAGCATAAAATAAACAAATAACTGAACCTGATAATAAATTTTACAGTTAGAGAAGAAGACTGAGTCAGACTTCATTTTGATATAAATGAAACATTTGGAATCAAGGTAAAAAGTGGAACGACGTGATAGAAATTATTTCACGGCAATAGAAGTCATTATTGGCTCCTTACCTTAACTGATGGTGTGAGTAACCCATACGCTGCCACAATAGAAGAGGCAGGTTTCTGAACTTCTTCAGAACCATCATTTTCTTCTTCTTCTCCGACTTCATCTTGCTCCGTAGCTCCTGAATTCATTATTAATGGCTGTGCATCAACTGCAACATGTATTACTGGAACTGTGCCAATAGAAAGAATATCGTAGAATCAATTGATTAAGAATGATACATAAAAATTAAAAACATAAGGACGTAATCACAAAAAGCGGGAAAAAAAATGTACGTAAAAGTTTGGTTGACATATTGAATTGATGTTGGCCGCTGGCAAGACCAACCTTTCAATAATCAGAAAAACAGCGCCAGATTTTCTATTATAACCGATCGATATTGCCAGGGCAAAAAATGAATTATCAACATGAGGGTAGTTAGCATAAAGATCCCCCTAAGTCTTTGATTGCTAAAGTGCCCCGAAGTACACCTCACATAACTGAATTTTTATTTTATTAATTGATTTTCTTATATAATATCAACATTTTTCAAACAAAAAAAGCAGCACTTCAGGAGCTTCACCAAAATGATACTTCAAAAGATCCGTTTTGAACACAACACTGATCTTGAAATAACAATGCAAAACATAACAAATAAACTGAAATACCAGGATTGGCTTGATATGCCTCAAGGTTGCCTTTCTCATGGTGTGGGGGTTCCCTGAAACAAATCCACAACCACAGTAGATAAAGAAGCCATGCGAGAGCCATGACCCACCCTGGCAGAGTCTCTTCGTTCATTGTGAATTTGTAAATGCTAAAATTAGTCTGTAATAAAGAGGCAAGCGCTGGACCACATGCCATTCCCAGAGCGCTTGCACTAACAAAACCTGCGGATGCCTGCATCCTAAGTTTCGATGGTACACAATCACTGATATAGCGCCTGTTAACAGCTCTTGCAGAACCTAACCTGAAATGTCAATATACTAACCACATTGATATGATTAAACCCAAAATTTTTATCATGTTCAAAGACAATTACGGCATAGACCATGCGAATACACTTATTCTCCTACTCATACCTGGGAGAAAAAAACATGAAACCTTGCTGTTTTGAAAACGATAAAATGTGGAGAGAGAAACCTGTTTAAGAACTGCTTCCCGAATATAGCTATGTACATTTTCATCTAATACATGGTATCCTTTTCAATACTCCTACATCTTAGGGTCTATTAATTAAGAAGGTCGACTTACTGTGAACTGTGCTTCCCGTCCAGGATATTTAGCTACAAAGGTCACAAAAGCGTTCGTGGAATTAATTCTGCTCATACTTGTCATATTTAAATTATATCAAGGGTCTTGCTTCAAAGCACTACTTTGTTAATGAAAAGACTTCTATATTAATTTCGAGGTGAATTAGAGAGATGAGTTCTTTTAAAGTCTATGCCATGGTTAAGAAATTAAAGAAAGAAAAGTAAATCGAATGCCAACTGTTGAATGCTTCAAGGACAAGTTTAAAGTTAATGCAACTGTATCATGCAAACTATTTGAAGTATAATCAAGATTTGCTGCATCTTTTGCTATAAAAACACAATATTTACATTTATAAGTTTTGAAATACTGAGCGATAGGAAATACTTGCCCACAGAAAAGACGTCCAATCAGAAGAACTGATATTGAATTAAGATCATAAGCCAATGCGTACAGGGTGTTTCCCACAAGAAGAAGAATGCTACTTATCAAGAGAGGTCTCCGATATGATTTGTTAGACCACGCACTGAAATAAACAGAAGAAAACATTTGTGCCATAGCCATTGAGCCAATGACAATACCACAAACGGTTGCTGCAGCCCCGAGGCTCAAAGAGTAGTTGTCTGCGGTAGGAACAATTATGTATGTGTTGACCATATACAAAAATGTGCTCGCCAAGTTTAGAAGAAGTGACATGAAGTGATATCTTTGACTCTCATCTTCAATATGGTCTTCAGATGGTGATGGCAGCTCCTCTTGCATGATAAAAGCATGTCTTCCCAAAAACTGAAGGAAAGTTGTTGAGTTTGATAATCTTTCTACGGCCACTTTTATAGAATCAAGGACAGGATCCTGCAGAAGTTAAAAGATTGTTAAGATTCAAGGGATCGGTTCTTCAATGATTCAGGAGTTAACAATAAAATGCATGTAATAGACATGAGAGAAAACCAAGTGAGAATAAGAAGGCTGATCATATATTGATATGTAGCGTCCTTGACGCTGTTGTAAGTCCCGAAGATCTGCAAGATTGTGGGATAAGACTCCAACTATGGCTCCAATACCCTGCAAAGAAGTTATTACATGAATGAAACAAAAACAAAAGAAGAAAAAGATTTTGTTTCATACAATATGGAGCAGAGAAAATGGAATAATATTAACCACATAGAATTAAGCTTAGAAAATAGATATTGTTAAGGATTAAGGGCATTACCACATGTCTGAAAACCTGTCGTAGTTGAGAGTAAGGATGATTTGCACGTGTCTTGACATAATAGTCAGCGAATTTATAG